ATATTCTAGTTTAGGGCTCTATCACATTTTGTTTATTCATTTGTCAGGTAATGGGCTTTTGGGTTGTTTTCATCTTTTGGCTATTATAATTAATGCTGCTATAAACATTCTTGTCCAGATGTCTTTGTGGACATGTGTATTGACTTGTTCAATTAATGCATTAACCACCTGAAAAGAATCTTCATCACTGATTAGCAAATGCCTACTCTTAAAAATCTAGCCACAGGTATACCTCATTTTGTGCTTTGCTTTATTGTGCTTCACAGCTGTTGTGTTTTTTATAAATTGGAGGCAAGTCCCTCCACAAGCATAAAGCTTACGACTTGCTTTTTTGCAATACTCAGTTTGTTGCGGTGGTCTGGGACTGAACACACGGTATCTCTGAGGTATGCCTGTATTTGGTTATGGGATTTTTTTTTGTTTTTGTTTTTTTTTGTTGGTTTGTGTGTGTGTGTTTGTTTGGGTGGCTGGCAATAACATTCTAACGATGATTGTGGTGATGATTGCACAACTCTATAAACATCCTAAAAATTATTACAGGGTACAGATTTTAAATGGGTGAATTACATTGTGTGTGAATTATATCTCAATAAAATTTGTAAAAAAAGAATAATTTAAAAATTTGAGCAGAAGGAACAAAGCAGTCATTGATAAGCAAGATTTGATATCAATAGTTGTGGTATACTTAGAAGAAAATTACATTTTAAAAATGTCATGATACCTCTTAACTCTTCTATATTGAAGACTTGGTTTATTTATTTTTTATTGGAAAGTTAATCTATGCTCATTATTTCACTTTCCAGAAATAATTTGCTGTTAATAGTTTGCTATATATGCCTTTAGACTCCTTTTGTATAAGTACGTGGTGGGGCAGAAATTTACAGTTGTTCATATGGAAAATAATATAATAAATAACAAATTAAGATTAAACTGTTTTACATACTCATAACTAGAATTAGATAATAAACTTTAATATATTAACATTTTTATCTTCTTTTATTCTAATAAGATAACATTTTTATCTTCTTTAATCAATAAATTCTTGCAGAGAAACTTTTCAGTATTATCTAATATATTAACTAGAATTAGATAATTAACTTTATCTTAAACATACAACTGTAAACCTGCTTTTGTCCCACCCTGTATATACAACATGTTATTTTTTTCAGAGAAAATGAAATTTGATTAGGGATACCTTCTTTTTTAATTCATTTCAGTTTACTTTTTTTTTTTTACCTAAAAAAAGAAAAAGCAGTATCAGGCTTCCATAGAAGAATGGGTCATTATGATTTCTGCAGTCATCTGTTACCAATGAACTTAAATAGCAACCATATCCAACTGTTAGGGAAAGCTGACTTTTCTAAGTGAATAAAATTTGACCAACTTAAAAAAAAATCTTGCTTACATATAGAACCTTCCTGTACATTTTCAGCCATTTCCTATAAATCTATAGATATTTCAAACAAATTTTAAAATATATTGCTCTTATTAGGAAGATACCAACTTTCAGAAATTTAGGTAGCAAGAACCAATTTGTTAAGAAAAGGCAAAACCAAGCAAAACTATCCAAGAGAAAAAGGGAGTCTCCCAACTTCTCTCTTTCTTTCAAACAACATTGGGGATCGAGCCCACAACCTGGGCTGTGCCCTTGATCAGAATCGAACCTGGGACCCTTCAGTCCACAGGCTGACGCTCTGTTCACTGAGTTAAACCAGCTACGTAGGTCTGTGTGCCGATTTGAATAGTCCTTCACTCTCAGCTCTTTTCCATTTTTTTGCCTTTAAATATGCATAATGCACTTTGGGAACTCTAACAAACCTGAGCTTGTTAGAATTACGTGCACATGAGAAGTAGTAGGTATGTTACGTGAGAAATTTGGGCATAAGAGCTTCAGACTTTGGATTTTAAGGTTTAAGATTTCAGGCTTGTTTCTTTCAGGGTTCATATTATGAGAGTTGGTGGGTCCTCTAATCATTTGTAATTTCTATATTATAGTCAAGTAATGGAATGAATCCATCAGAAGCTTCAGGCCTATTAATATTTGTTATTTTATTTACTAACGTGCTACAGAGTAGGAGATAATGATTATTTCAAAAAATGTTCTTATTTTGGTTGGAATAAATTTGCATGTAAAAGCTAGGGAAAGTAAAAACTAGAATTAGATAATAAACTTTATCTTAAATATGAAAAAGTGTAGAAGCCAAATGGATATGTTTGGATTCATAAGAGACTGTAGTTTATGAATGGAACCTGCAACTGAGGTACGTGCCCTGCCCTTGAGCAGAATCGCACCTTCAGTCTGCAGGCCTACATGTTATCCCTTCAGCCAAACCAACTAGGGCTAATGTTACATTCTTCCTGAAAAATAAAAATGGCTATTCATAATGTTAAGGATATTATCTTCTTATGAATATGATTTTTTTTTTTTTTTAAAGCTTATAGTACCTGATATTTGAATATGGCATTTTAATTTTATGTATGGCAAACTAATTACTTGGTATATTAGTTGACAAGTTTATTAGGGATCATGTCAACATAACTGGAAGTTCTTATAATATGTTTTCTGTTTTTGGAAAACTTTGGAAAAATTAGGTTTCAGGTTGTATAACACTTGCTTATGATATTGGCTTTTATTTCCAGTAAATATATTCTATTATTTATTTTCATTGAAGAAAACTAACACTGACATTTGTGAAGAGAGTTGTTGATCTTGGTTTATTGATGTAGACTTTTATTTCACCTACTAGAGGCCCAGTGCACAAAATTAGTGCATGGGGGGGAGGGGGTTTGTGTCCCTTAGCCCAGCCTGCACCCTCTTCAATCTGGTACCTCTCAAGGGATGCCTAAATGGGCAGTTGGACATCCTTCTCACAATACAGTACTGCTGGCTCCCAACTGCTCCCCTGCCTCCTTCCTGATTACCCCTAACTGCTTCTGCCTGCCAGCCTGATCACCCCCTAACCACTCCCCTGCCAGCCTGATTGATGCCTAACTGCTTCCCTGCCAGCCTGATTGCCCCTAACTGCCATCCCCTGAAGTCCTGGGTCCCCTGCAACTGCCCTCCCCTGCAGGCTTGATTGCCCACAACTGCCCTCCCTTGCAGTCATGGTCCCTTCGAACTGCCCTCCCCTGCTGGCCATCTAGTAGTGGCCATCTTGTGTCCACATGGGGGCAGGATCTTTGACCACATGGGGGCAGCATCTTGTATGTTGGAGTGATGGTCAATCTGCATATTACTCTTTCATTAGATAGGATAGAGGCATGGTACATGAGTGGGGGCCATCTGGTTTGCCCTGAAGGGTGTCCCCGATCAGGATGGGGGTTCCCTTGGGGTGTGGAGCAGCCTGGAAGAGAGGCCTGTGGAGGTTTGCAGGCTGGCCACGCCCCCCAGTGACACAAGGGGAGGCCGTGGTATCTGGGATTTATTTATTTTCTACAATTGAAATTTTGTAACCTTAAGTGGAGGCCAGAGCCAGCTTGGGACGCTTGGCTTCCTCCATCTCTGGGGGCAACCCAAGCTTCCTGCTTGCTTTAGCCCTGCGGCTGCCACCATTTTTGTTGGAATTGATTTATCTTATGTAATTGAAATTTTGAAGCCTTGAGTGGAGGCCAGGGCTGGCCAGAGCAGGCAGGAGGCTTGGCTTTCTCCATTGCCAAGAAAACTCAAGCCTCCTGCTCACTCCATGACTGCAGCCATCTTGGTTGGGTTAATTTGCATACTCACTCCTGATTGACTGGTGGGCATGGCTTTTGGGCGTAGTGGAGGTACGGTCAGTTTGCATGTTTCTCTTTTATTAGTGTAGATAACATTGATATTTCTGATGTTTTCTTTGCTCTGACTAGCTAACTTAATATTTATTGGATTAAATAACTAAAGGTTTTGTAGGATTGTGTAATGGTCTGGTTCTGTTAATTTCCCATTAGTTGAGGACTAGCTAATAGACTTTTAATGCTCTTTTTAAAATTTTATCTACTTTCGCCGGGACTGGTTTGGCTCAATGGATAGAGCGTTGGCCTGCGGACTGAAGGGTCCCGGGTTCGATTCCGGTCAAGGGCATGTACCTTGGTTGCGGGCACATCCCCAGTTAGGGGTGTGCAAGAGGCAGCTGGTCGATGTTTCTCTCTCATCGATGTTTCTAGCTCTCTGTCCCTCTCAATTCCTCTCTGTGTAAAATCAATAAAATATATTAAAAAAATTTTTTTATCTACTTTCTCACTTCTCAAATTGCTTAAGTTTACTGAAAGACTCATATTAGCAATTATAAAGTATCTTGTGTTCAGTGCTTATATGATTAATAATGTGCTGTCTTGACTAAGATGTCAAGATTTAGTAATTTTAAAATACAGACTTTTGAGTTAAATCAATGATTTTCAACCTTTTTATCTGATGGCACACATAAACTAATTACTAAAATTCTGCAGCACACACAAAATATGTGTTTTTTTTTTTCCCCTGATGTGCTAAAAAGTAGATGTAATTTTGATTCATTCACACTGGATGGCTTTTGTTGTGTTGGCTGTTGTCATTTTTAAAATTTTTTTATTTGATGATCTAAGGGAAAAGAGGGCAGTGCCCCTGACTAAATAGTCAAGTATTGTATGTTTTAGAAACCCTTGCAGCACACTGGTTGAAAATTGCTGTTAAATTATTAGGGATCCCATAATGCCTATTCAAGGAATTGAATTTTGGTATTTAGTAGTGTATTTAAAAAGGACCATGGTTATCTTTTCTAAATTATACTACATATTATTCCTTAATATTTCAGACTTAGTTTCATTAATATACCCTTATGAGTGATTATAGAGTATGCACATGATTGCATATATAATAAAAATAAACTTTATGAGGCCTTACAATATTGATTTGATACTTTTAAAGTCTTACAGTGAGCAACAATGGTTAAGTTTAGGAAAGATAGCTTACCTGACTGTCAGCATTGCATATTTGTTAATGTTATTTTGATCTTTTTTTATTAAATAAAAATCTTTTTAAATTGCAGGGGGAAAAAAATAGTGGCTTTGATGTTCTTTACCATAATATGAAACATGGACAGATATCCACAAAAGAACTAGCAGATTTTGTAAGAGAAAGGTATGTATTTTTTCATGTCATTTAACAATTTATTACAAGTTAAAATTTAGAATATAAATGAGAAAATTTTGATTGTATTCAAGTACAGTTGTTAAAAGTATACTATAGTTATACTTTAAAATAGTTATTTGTGATCTACACATTGAGGGCTAAATAGTGGCTCCTACTGGCATTGTTGAACTGGTTTATATATCACTGCCTGAAAATATTATCTGCATATATTTCATTGAATGTGCTAGCAAGGTATTACAATAGAAAAATTGAGAAACTTTGAAGAATAAAATATTACAGTTTCTTTAAATATGTCAGTAAAGAAAACATACTAAAATAACTTGAAAAGACTTAGTAAGTTTTCTGAATTTTAGTTAAGGGTGGGGAATGTTTGGGGTGGAGAATGTTCAACCTGTGGGTTTATAAGGTTTGTGAAATCACTTAGTCTGGCCCTGCCAAAGCATTGGGGTGAGTTCATTAAATATTTGACCAAATATAGCAGGCTAATTTTTAAGTTGATAATTTGGTCTGTTAATCTTACCTAATAATAGACAAACATGTACATTGACCATACCTCTGCTACGGCCACCAGCCAATCAGAGTATGCAAATTAACCCACCAAAGATGGCAGTTAATTTGCATACATAGGCGTGAACAATAGACAGGGTGGTGGTGGTGGGAGGGAACAGGCATAGTGATGATGCAGGGTTCTGCGTTGGCCCCCCCTCCCCTAATCACTCTGTGCAGTGTGGGAAGGCAGGGCCAGAGCGGAAAGAGGCGGCTCCGGGGCTGGGCCGGAGTGGAAAGGCGGTGCCGGGAGCCAGGGAAAGGAAGGCCCATTCTAGCATGAATCTTCGTGCATCAGGCTTCTAGTGACGTTATAAATGTCCAAATAGCCCTTGGCAGAAAAAAGGTTCCCCACCTCTGTTGTAGTTTAATTATTATTATAACTTTTATTTTTAAAGAGGCCCTAAGTATGTATTTTTGAATTCTGAAAATTTATAAAATGTGATTATCTTTAAGACTTCATAATACAATAGTTAATTTAGAAACTATTTTTAAAAAATATATTTTATTGATTTTTTTACAGAGAGGGAGAGGGAGAGAGAGTTAGAAATGTCAATGAGAGAGAAACATCGACCAGCTGCCTCTTGCACACCCCATACCGGGGATGTGCCCGCAACTAAGGTACATGCCCTTGACCGGAATCAAACCCGGGACCTTTCAGTCTGCAGACTGACGCTCTACATCTGAGCCAAACCAGTTTCGGCTAATTTAGAAACTATTAAAATCATTACAATTTTATTTGATTAAAGTTGTTTTGTAGTTGGGCCCACTTGATTATTTTTATATGAATACATTTAAAGTCTTTACCTTGATTATAGAGGGATATATGCCTTTAGATACAATACTTCATTTATTTCATCAATATATATCTAATGTCTGCTGTATATCAGACTTTAGTTTGGATTCTGAGAGTATAGTGGTAAAGATACAACTTCTTCTGTCTACATACAGTTAACAGACGGGTAGAAAATGGAGAGCAAACTTTTTATGTAACACCAGTCCTCTTAAGGCTTTCACCTATTGGAGTTAAGAGGGAGCCCAAAAATCTCTAAATACTATGGATAAAGCTATCCCTCTCCTTTCCACCTTGTCATCATTGGCAGGTGGAAAGGAGAGGCCCCAGAACTCTGCATCTCTGACATCTCCCCCAGCCTGCCTTTTGCACAAATACTTGATCACTACTATAACTAACTACCTTGATACTATTGGGCAGTAGTCATGCCTTTTAACCCTGTTTGTATCAGTAACCATAAGAAGTCCAGGACCCCTGGGCCATCTCTTTGCCTAGAATCTAAACCCTTTATGATTCTGTGAGCAGTGAGACAACCCCTTCTTCCACTCCCCCTTCCCTGCTTTATTTTTCTTCATAAGACTTAAGCCATCTAATAGAAGCAACGTTTTACTTATTTGTCTATCTTAGAATATAAATCTCATGAGTAGGGTGTTTTTTTTTTTGGGTTGTTTTTGCTTATTACTGTATTTCCTGTACTTGTGGGAGTGCTTGCTTCTTTAGTAGGCCCTCTGTGTGTGTGTGTGTGTGTGTGTGTGTGTGTGTGTATGTGCTTTTTTTTATTGCATTTTTAAAAATATATTTTATTGATACTTTACAGACAGGAAGAGAGAGGGATAGAGAGTTAGAAACATCGATGAGAGAGAATCCTCGATTATCTGCCTCCTGCACATCTCCTTATGGGGATGTGTCCGCAACCAAGGTACATGCCCTTGACCGGAATCGAACCCGGGACTTTTCAGTCCACAGGCCAATCAATGCTCTATCCACTGAGCCAAACCGGTTTCGGCAGTATATATATTTTTAAAAAATAACTTTTATTTTTCAATTACAGTTGATATACATTATTATGTTAGTCTGGTCTGCACTCCAGTGACTAAACATTACATAACTCACTAAGTGATCATCCTGATAAACCTCACACCCACCTGACACCATGCATACCGTGTTTCCCCGAAAATAAGACATCCTCCGAAAATAAGACCTAGTGCATGGAAAGATAAGACATCCCCTGAAAATAAGACCTAGCGCAACTTTGGGAGAAAAAATTAATATAAGACCTGTCTTATTTTCGGGGAAACTGGGTAGTTATTATAGTACTAGAGGCCTGGTGCACGAAATTCACGGGGTTGGGCCTAAATTGGCAGTTGGACATCCCTCTCACAATCCAGAACCACTGGTTCCTAACTGCTCACCTGCCTGACTCCTGATCGCCCTTAACTGTCCCCTCCACCTCCGCTGGCCTGGTCGCCCCACGCAGCCTGCTGCTCATCGTTTGGTCACCCCTCAATAACCCCCCTGCCGGCCTGGTCTCCCCATGCAGCCTGTTCGGTCGTCCGTCTGGTTGCGATGGTTGCTTAGGCTTTTATTTAGATAATTACCTCTACCAGAGGCCTGGTGCACAAAATTTGTGCATTGGGGGGAGGTGTCCCCCAGCCTGCATCCTCTCCAATCTGGGACTGCTGGTTTCTAATCATTCGCCTTGACTGTGTGCCTGATTGCCCCTAACTGCTCCCCTGCTGGCCTATTGCCCCCTACCTGCTCCCCTGCTGACCTAATCACCCCAACTGTCCTCCCCTGCAGGCCTGATCACCCCCAACTGCCCTCCCCTGCAGGCCCGATCACCCCCAACTGTCCTTCCTGTAGGCCTGGTCCCCCCCAACTGCCCTCACTTTCATGCCTGGTCGCTCCCAACTGCCCTCCCCTGCCGGCCATCTTATGACAACGTGGAGGTGGCCGTCTTCTGGTAATGTGGGGGTGCCCATCTGTGATGACATGGGGTGGCCATCTTATGACATGGGGGCAGCCATCTTGTGATGTGAGGGCATGAGGGTCAATTTGCATATCACCTCTTTATTATATAGGATCTTATGTACTATACTATACATTCCTATGACTATTCTGTAACAACCCATTCCGTCAACCCTCTTCCATCTGGCAGCCATCAAAATGTTCTATGTATCTATGGGTCTGTTTCTGTTATGCTTGTTCATTTATTTTATTTTATTTTATTTTTTTAAAATATATTTTTATTGAGAGGAAGGGAGAGGAAGAGAGGGCAGTTGTGGGTGATCAGGGCTGCAGGGGAGGGTAGTTGCGGGGGGACCAGGCAGGCAAAGGAGGGCAGTTAGGGGTGAATGGACCAGCAGGGGAGGGCAGTTGGGATGACTAGCCAGCAGGGGAGGGAAATTGGGAGGGATCAGGCTTGCAGAGCAGGGCAGTTAGGGGTGACCAGGCCTGCAGGGGAAGGAAGTTGGGGGGACTAGGACTGCAGGGGAGGGGAGTAGGAGGCGACCAGGCTGGCAAGGGAGGGCAATTAGGGGTGACCAGGCCTGCAGGGGAAGGTAGTTAGGGGCAATTGGGCCAGCAGGGAAGGGCAGTCAGGCCTTGATCAGACTGGCAGAGGAGTGGTTAGGGGGTGATCAGGCTGGCAGGCATAAGTGATTAGGGGCAATCAGGCAGGCTGGCAAGTGAGTGGTTGGGAGCCAGCAGTCTGGATTGTGAGAGGGATGTCCAACTGCCCATTTAGGCCCGATCCCACCAGTGCAGTCGGACATCTTTCGAGGCGTCCCAGATTAGAGAGGGTGCAGGCTGGGCTGAGGGACACATACATACACACACACCTCATGCACGAATTTTGTGCATCGGGCCTCTAGTATATTTTTATTAGGTGTACGCCCTGCAGTAGAATTGCCAGGTCATAGAGAATGCATATGTAATCTCTAGTAGATAAAGAATTTTTCAATGCTCTATATCCACTGAGCCAAACCAGCCAGGGCTCTTCTCATTTTCTTGATGTTATCTTTCTCAGAGTAGAAGTTTACATTTTAATGAAGTCCATCTTAATAATGATTTCTTTCACAGGTCATGTCTTTGGTGGTGTATCTAAAAAGACATCACTATACTCAAGGTCAGATAGGTTTTCTCCTGTGTTATCCTCTGAGAGTTTTATAATTTTGTGGTTTACATTTTGTCATTGATTTTTGCAGTCTTACTAAGGTGTAACTAAGTGCAGATATTGTTTTATTTATCCTCTCAAGGTTTGTTGGGCTACATGGATCTATGGTTTGACATATCTTGTCAATTTTGGAAAACACTTCACATTTTATCACCATAGACATTCTTCTGACACATCCGTTCCCTTTTTACACATATGTTAGACTTATATGTTAGACTTTTGATGTGTCCTTTTCCTTTATTTTTTACATTCTTTTGCCTCTTTTAACTTTATTCCAAGAGATTATTCTCACCTCTCTTCTAGTTTACTAATTCTCCCTACCGTGTATTGAATTTGCTGTTAAACCTCATCCATTGATGTAATTTTTTTTTCAGATATGGAATTTACATCTTTGTTTACATTTGCTATGGTTTCCTCCACCTTTTTTTTTTTTTTTTTTTTTAAACAGCAGAAACTTATTTTCTCACAGTAATGGAGTCTGGAAAATCTATGTTACAAAGTCTATGTTATAACAGGGTTCAGGATCTGTTGGAGCTCTCTTCCCAGCTTGCAGATCACTACCTTCTCTCTGTATATTTAGACGGCAGGCAGAGCTGGTTTCCTCCAGCTTTTAAAAAATGATGTCTAGTTCTTTTTAGAAATATTTGATTTAATCTACTGTCTCCTTAAACATAATACATAAACTTATAAGGTCTAAGTTTTTTAATCTCAGCTTTTAGAACATTGCCAGATTGTTATGTTGGGTTTTGTTAATCATGTCTTGTCTCCTATTAGAGGCCCGATGCACGAAATTCATACAAGGGGCTCGGACCTCGCAGTCCCAGCTGCCTTGGCTAGCCCTGGCTTTGGCCGGAAGGTTGTCTGAATGGTTGTGCTGCTGTTTGGTCTAATTAGCACATTAGCTCTTTATTATATGGGATATTATATAGGATGTGCCTATGGTTTTATGAATGTGTATAAGCATCATGTAGGATCTAGTATCAGGATTTGAAAAGATATGGGTTGCAGTCCCTTTGAGGTTTTGTTTATTTATGGTTTATCCTTACTCTTGAAGTTTCAATTTTAAGGATTTGGGATTTCCCATAATTCCCCTTGGCTGGTCTCAAGCTATAGTTTTGTCTCCCTTGTCCTGTGAGGCTATGAAAGCGCTGTTCTACTTCTTAGATGCCCCCAAGGGAAAAGCTGCCCTACATATCTGACTCACTTCTCTGGATATTCTTCACTTGGATCTTGGCCTATGATTCTTAACTGTCTCTCTAGTTCTCTGATGCCTTTTAGTCACACACCTCTTTCTCTGTTTTTCTAGTTTTCCTTATGGGAGGTTTTTGTATCAATTTACTATTTCTGGAAATTGAACCACTTCTTATTTCTTGCTGTTAAAACATATCCATTAAGACATTAATATATTGTTTTGTATTAACTTTTTAGATGATTAAAGTACTCTCTTTGTAATATAGTTTATTAAAAGAACAAAAAATTGAAGGAGCAAAAAAAAAGTCACAGTGCCAGCAGTGAGAGGCAGATACTGTGAATAGTTCCTTTTTGTTGACCTGTTATGGGAGTAGGGTAGGGGAAGAGTTTGGAGATAAGCTTAGTTTGGATAATCTGAGTTTGAGGTACTCAAGATATTTTAAGTAGAGTTGTGCTTGAGGCATTTATGATATTAAACATGATTTGATGCAAGAGCAGTGTGGAGTTCTGAATTTGGACATTAAAATCAGGAAGTTAGTTCAACCTATCAAAGTAAATGGAAGGGCAGTGGTGGTTGTAGGCTGTTCCACTGTTAAGGGAAGCACAGATTGAGAAGGGCCAGGGTAATTACAGAGGACTTATGTTTTGTAGTGTGAAGAAGGCCAATATATACAACAAATACTGTTTCATATGTTGTATATGTAGGTTATGTGTCTATGAGAAACATTTTTTTACCTCATGCTTAATGGCTTTGGTTGATCTTTTTTAAAATATATTTTTATTGATTTCAGAGAGCATGGGAGAGGGAGAAAGAGAGAGAAACATCAGTGATGAGAAAGAACCACTGATCAGCTGCCTCTTGCATGCTCCACGCTAGGGATCAAGCCCACAACCCGGGCATGTGCCTGTGACCAAAATGAAACCTGCAATCATTTAGTCCCCAGGCCGACACTGTATCCACTGAGCCAAACCAGCTAGGGTTGGTCTTCTTTTTAAAGTCTAAAATCCTATAAGCTGAATAATCCTACATAATAAAAGAGTAATATGCAAATCAACCATCACTCCACTACACCCACAAGCCATGTCCACCAACCACATCCACCAGCCAATCAGAGCGAGTATGCAAATAAACCCAATCAAGATGGCTACAGCCACAGAGCAGGAAGGAGACTTGGGTTTCTCAGGCAAGGGAGGAAGCCAAGCTTTCTGCCTGCCCTTATAGGCCTAAGCCTCCACTTAAGGTTACAAAGTTTCAATTGTAGAAGGTAAATAAATTCCAGATATTAGGGCTTCTGCTTGGGTCCTGGGGGGCGTGGCCACCTGCAGACCACCACAGGCCCCTCGCCCATGCCGCCCCACGTCCCAAGGGAACTCCCACCCTGATCCGGGACACCCTTCAGGGCAAACCAGATGGCCCCCACCATGTACCAGGCCTCTATTCTATCTAATAAAAGAATAATATGCAGATTGACCATCACTCCAAAACACAATAGGTGCTCCCATGTGGTCAAAGATGGCTGCCCCCATGTGGACACAAGATGGCCACCACAAGATGGCCAATAGGGGAGGGCATTTGGCAGGCACCAGGCCTGCAAGGGAGGGCATTTGAGAGGGACCAGGCTTGGAAGGAAGGGCAGTTGGAGGCAATCAACCCTGCAGGGGAGGGCAGTTAGGGGTGACCAGGCCAGCAGAGGAGGGAAGTTGAGGGCAAACAGGCTGGCAGGGGAGCAGGTTAGACATCAATCAGGCTGGCAGGGGAGTGTTTAGGGGGTGATCAGGCTGGCAGGCAGAAGTGGTTAGGGGCAATCAGGAAGGCAGGCAGATGAGCAGTTGGGAGTCAGCAGTCCTGGATTGTGAGAGAGATGTCCAACTGTCATCTGTTAGGGCAGTCAGACATCCCTGAGGAGTCCCAGATTGGAGAGGGTGCAGGTTGGGCTGAGAGAGACCCCCCTTCCCCCTGTGCACGAATTTCGTGCACTGGGCCTCTAGTAATTAATATTTAGTATTGTGCAAAAGACTTATTAATTTCTTGTTCAAGTAAATGTGTACAATAATAAAATCACAATGTTGAAAGTAATCAAACTATATTAAGTACACTAAGTAGGTATTAAAAATCAATGGCTTTCACACTGAATCAGTTTACAGAGAGAGAAAAATACAAGCAGTAGCATTCTTGCATTTCCTGTTTAAATAATTATTGGTACTAAAGGTAAAAAGAATGGTGACTTCATGCAAGTTTCACTGCTGGTCTAAATTATTTTAGTTTATACCAGATTAGTTCTTTGAGTAGGTGTGCACAAAGAGCCAGAGATTCATGCCCACATACTTATTTTTAGCATATACTTGGAATTATCTTTTTGTTTCTACAGTTTTAATTGTATTTTGATAATTTTGCTATGTGTTTGGTAATTAAAGGAAATATTGTAATATGGAAATTTTACTTAACAGAGCTACAATAGAAGAGGCGTACTTCAGGTCAATGACAAAACTAGCAAAATCTGCAAGCAATTATTCACAACTTGGGTGAGTAATTTCTTTGGAGAACTCTTTTAATGCTGATTTAGGCAAACTTCTTCATAATATTAGATTTCATTGAGGCTATAATAGCTCATAAATATAACATTTATAATGTACTTATTTATTGACTTGATTGAAAATATAATTGAGCTTGCTGAATTACTGAATACCGTCAAAGTATGTAAAACTTATTTTTTGCCCTTTATTAAATGACATAGTCATTCAGTAGTATAATTTGGAGATTATCAATATTAAGTGTAATGCATGTTATTCTAGTTTTCTGTAGGTTCATTTTTTTCTCTAAAACTTCATTTAAATTCTGCTAGATAGTGATTTTTAAAAACTCAAATGATTGAAATGTTAAAATTTAGTAAAAATGTTTGATTTTTATAGACTATCATTAAATCTTTTAAGAATTTGTTTAAAGAAGTGTATTCTTTGGAAAATGAATACTACTAATAAAAAGATGTTTAAAATGAGATGTGTTCATAGCCATAACAACTCTGGGAAGAAGAATTGTATAATTTGAAACATAACTCTGGAAGAAATGCTTAATCTGATTTAGTTATCTAAAGTTTGGGGAGAGGTATGTTAGCTCAGATGTGAAAATAATTTGTGTAACATTTATAAAGATTTTTATAATGATATTAAGTAAAAGATTTCCTCTTTATATGGGTTTCTGATGCATCTGTGAATCCCCTGAAATTAAAGTAAACTTTTGGGTAGGTATTATTAACTCATTTCTGATTGACATATAGTTTTACAATTCAAAAAACTGGTTAAGCACGACTATTTTATGAAAGTATTCTCTAGCATCATTGAGTGAATCTAAATAAGTCTCCCGACTTTGTGGTGTGGATAAAGAGGAGTTATATTCTTTAATTCATCCAGACGGTAGTGATACTGTCCATTTTGTAAGTGCAGACATATATATATAACTACTAGAGGCCCAATGCAGGAAATTCATGCATGGATAGGGTCACTAGGCCTGGCCAGTGAGTGATCAGGGCCGATCAAGGGCCTCTGGCTGTTGGCCTGCCTCTGTTCCCCAGCTGCTGGCTGCCAGACTTTCTTCATTTTATGCTGCCCCCTGGTGGTCAGTGCACATCATAGCAAGCAGTCAAACTCCTGGTCTCCCAGGGGATCGGGTCTAAGTCAGCAATTGGACACCCCCCTCGCAATTCAGGATCCCTCGCTCCTTACTGCCCACTTGCTCGCTGCTCCTTACTGCCCGGCTTGCTGCTCCTTAGTGCTGCTGCAGAGGCAGAAGAGCCTCCCACCACCGCCGCTGTGCTCACCAGCCGTGAGTCTGGCTTCTGGCTGAGTGGCTCTCTCAGTGGAAGTGCACTGACTACCAGGGGGCAGCTCCTGCGTTGAGTGTCTGCAACCTGGTAGTCAGTGAGCATCATAGCGACCTGTCATTCTGGTCATTCTGCTGTAACGGTCACTTAGGTCAGTGGTCGGCAAACTCATTAGTCAACAGAGCCAAATATCAACAGTACAACAATTGAAATTTATTTTGAGAGCCAAATTTTTTAAAACTTCTTCTAATGCCACTTCTTCAAAATACGACTCACCCAGGTCATGGTATTTTGTGGAAGAGCCACACTCACGGGGCCAAAGAGCTGCATGTGGCTTGTGAGCCTCAGTTTGCCGACCACAGGCTTAGGCTTTTGTTATATAGATTCATGTGTATTATTTAACCAGAAAAAAGTTGTATATGTCAAACTTTTATAAATGGAATGATATTTGAAATTCCTTAAAGAAACCTGTGTTTAAAGAAATCTTATGTTGAACTGGTTTTTCTCTGTAAAGAATCCTTTGGTAAAGGGACACTTCTATCTTATCTATGTACTTTGTGAAATCTAGACTATCATCATGTATCAGGTTTACATGAAGTGATGCACAAGTCTTTTGATGCTGTTGTGTCTTTTTTTTTTTTTTTTTTTTTAGTGTCTCCCCCCCCCCCCCCCCCCCCAGTATTTTCCATCTACTTGCCAGATTTAGGGCTGATGAGATTTTAAAGTGTGAAATGATATCTAATCAGACCAATCCTAAGTGTTTTCTTTTTAAAGTATATATTTATTGATTTTAGAGAGTAAGGGAAAGGGAGAGAGAGATTTAAACAACAGTGATGAGAGAATCATTGATCAGCTGCTTCCTGCACGCCCCCTACCGGGAATCAAGCCCACAATCTGGGCATATGTCCTTGACTAGAATCAAACCTGGGACCTTTTAGTCCACAGGCTGACGCTCTATTCATTGAGCCAAATTGGCTAGGCCAATCCTAAGTATTTTAATAAGCCTCTTTGAACTTGTTTACTATTGCTTAAAATGAACATTGTTAGTTAGCTTTCCTACTGGGTAGGAAATGTAATAATTGGCACAGAGGATAACTAATTTCTTTCTCTGTTCTCTTGATTTAGTAATCATTGCTGCTATTTGCTTTTTTTTATTATTAGAAATTTTGTCTTAAAACAAAGCAGAAAATATTGTAGGGAGTACCTGAGAAAATTATAGGGTAAAATTATACATAGATCATTCTCTATTAACCAAATTTATCATTGGCATTCTAAGTACTATCTAAGCTATTATAACATAGTAAGTCTTGGAAATACTTGAACCTGCTGAAAATATTAAACCCTTAATATTGAGAAAAACTGGTAGGAAAGTATGTCATGCATCTTGAACTATGTAGTAAAAAGGGGACTTTCTTATTGTTTGTTGAAGTAAACAGATAGATAAAATTATAATGGCCCTCAAAAGGTTTCAGATAATAGTTTTAAAATAATCTCTATATAAAAGCCTAATATGCAAAGTGTCCCCTCAAGAATTTGACCAAGAGACCAGGAGTTCAATCGCTTGCTATGATGTGTGCTGACCACCAGGGGGTGATGTGAAATGAGGAATGCTCCAGCAGCCACTAGTGACACTACCCGTGCACAAATTTTGTGCACTGGGCCTCTGGTTCTTATATAATTATTAATTAATGATGATACTAAAAAAATCATGTGCAAGTTTTAACTTTTTCATGTTTAAATTCAAAGGAACTTTTATTTCTGATGAAGAATTAAAAAATTTTTTTGAATCCTCACTTGGGTTTATTTTTTATTTTATTTATTTATTTTTTAGAGAAAGTAGAGGGGAAGAAGGAAGGGGGAAAGAAAGAGAAACATCTGTTTGAGAGAGATACATTGATTGATTGTCTCCTGCATGCACCGTTGACTGGGGCTGGGGATGGAGCTTGTAATCAAGGTACATGCCCTTGATTGGAAATTGAACCTGAGACCTTTCAGTCTACAGGCTGATGCTCTAACCACTGAGCAACCGGCCAGGGCAGTCGTTTAGTTTATTTTTTACTTAATTAAAATTGCTGAATGTAACATTACTAATTCCATTGATTCTATGTTGGAGCCTTAAATTTTTTTTCTTTTAGTAAATTATTCTCGTATTTTCTTTTTCTTAGAACATTTGCACCAGTGTGGGATGTGTTCAAAACATCTACAGAGAAATTAGCTAATTGTCACTTGGATCTTGTTAGAAAATTACAAGAATTAATAAAGGAAGTTCAGAAGTATGGAGAAGAACAAGTAAAGTCTCATAAAAAGGTATCAATTTTTTCTCGATAAAGGGTAATTGATCAGATAATTGAGTGCTTTACAGCTTGATCATTTTTGATGAATCATTTCATACCAAACAGACTAAAGAAGAAGTTGCAGGAACTTTGGAAGCTGTTCAAACCATTCAGAACATAACTCAGGCCCTCCAGAAATCCAAGGAAAATTACAATGCCAAGTGTGTAGAACAAGAACGTTTGAAAAAGGAAGGAGCTACACAAAGAGAAATAGACAAGGTAATTACAATAAAAATAAATCCTCCGTGGTTTCAAAGTACTATTCTATACAAGAATGCATTTAATATTCAAAAATTATCTCAGATTTAAGATGAAGACACTGTACCTCTGAGTATTAGTGATATACCTGAATGAAACAGACGGACTTACAAAATATGTTGTATATGATAAATAGGTTAGCAAATACATAAAAAGGAATGATTTTTTTTTTTTTTTTGTCTGTAGCACTTTACAGGATCCTATCTAAGAAAAGAGTAATATGCAAATTGACAGTCACTCCAACACACAAGATGGCCATCCCATGTGGTCAAAGATGACTGCCCCCATGTGGACACAAGATGGCTTTCACAAGATGGCCACTAGGGGAGGGCAGTTGTGGGCTATCAGGCCAGCAGGGAAGGGCATTTGGGAGGGACCAGGCCTATAAGGGAAGACAATTGGGGGCGATCAGGCCTGCAGGGGATGGCAGTTAGGGGTGACCATGCTGACAGAGAAGGGCAGTTGGGGGTGATCAGGCTAACAGGGGAGGGCAGTTAGGGGTGATCAGGCCTGCAAGAGAGGGCAGTTAGGGGCAATCGGCTGGCAGGGGAGCAGTTAGGCATCAATCAGGCCGGTAGGGGAGTGATCAGGCTGGCAGGCAGAAATAATTAGGGGCAATCAGGCAGGCAGGCGAATGGTTGGGGGTTGGCAGTCCTGGATTGTGAGAGGGGTCCTGGATTGGAAAGGGTGCAGTCTGGGCTGAGGAACACACACAAACCCTCCCCCACCTCCCCGTGCATGAATTTTCTGCACCGGGCCTATAATATATTTATAAAAGATAATTGATGAGATACTGTTTGGTATAAGATTTAACAATGAGGTAAAACTTTGTGAAGCAAGAAAGACATAGATACTTGAAGATAAGCTTTAAATACAGGTTGTGGTAAATTTATTGCTCACTTTGTGTACATTTATGTAGTATTGTGGTAAACCACAACCCTTATCCCACTTGTGTTTTAATTGAAAGTAGTTTTTTTCCTCCTTTAAAAAACAGTTTAACCATTTATTTGTTTGATGTGGTATAGTTTCTATTAGGAATGAGCCATAGGGAGTGATAATTTTAAAAGCTTTGTAAAGTTTTGAAATACCTGTAAAAAAGAAAACCAAATTTTAACCATATTACAATTAAAATAATTATAAAAGTTTGCATACTTGGGCAGAAACTAGAAGAGAATATTGAAAAATCAAAAGAGTTGATAGAATTTGGGTTAATATATTTTCTTTAATGTTGTGCAATAGATAAAAATTGGGAGAGGGAGAAAGATGAGGCATAGTAAGTTCATAGTTTCAAAGTACCCTCAATTTCAGACAGCAGTTATGAATAAAATATGAAAATAGAAAACAAAACAAATAACAGGGTCCAAAAAGAATACTACCTTGGTGAACCAGAAATGGAACAGAAACCTAAGGTGGCATGTAGAGATTGATTATGCAGGCTTGAACTCAAAGTCCTAAAATAAATTAGGCAGTGGATTTTGGCTTTTGTGTGATAAAGGGGGATTTAAATGTTCCATATTTAAAATAATCCCAAGGACTAGCAATTACTGGGAAGTTCTCAGGAAATAGTCTCAACAGCTGGAAAATGAACTTGACCTGAAACTGGTTTCCTGCAATAAATGGTGTACAAGTTACAGTCACAGCAGTGTCCAAGATGGAAGACACGGCGGGTGTAGCTCTGACACAACACCCTTCCTAAGTGGGTCAAGCCAAGACAATATTTGAAACAATGGCAATTCTTTTTAATATATTTTATTGATTTTGTACAGAGAGGAAGGGGGAGAGAGAGAAACATCGATGAGAGTCATCGATCAGCCGCTCTTGCACACTCCTCACTGGGGATATGCCCGCAGCCAAGGTACATGCCCTTGACTGGAATGGAACCCGGGACCTTTCAGTCCCCAAGCCGACGCTCTATCCATTGAGCCAAACCGGTTTCAGCGGCAATTCTTTATTAAATAGAATACATCAGCAGTGTGGCTGTCCCCTCGAGTGCAGCATTGATGCATGCATTACAACGACATGGATATTGCAGGATTATACACATGAATTCCATAAAACCAAAGCAAACTTTATGACAGTATGGGAAAGGGAGAAGCTCATGGGATTAGTACAAAAGGATATTGATCATATAAAAGTGGGTCTGGAGTAAACAGAAAAACAACTATTAAAAAAATTTATATTTATATATTTTATCGAATTTATTGTGCTGACATTGGTTAACAAACTATCCAGGTTTCAGGTGCATAGTTCCACAACATATCATCTGTACACTGTACTGTGTGTTTACCACTCCAAGTTAAGTCTCTTCCCATCATTTATCCCTTCTCTACCCTCCTTCACCTTTCACCATCCCTCTTACCCTTGGCAGTCACCACAGTTGTCCATGTTCATGAGTCTTTTTTCTCTTTTTTGCTCCATCTCTCCACCTTCTGCCACCAGACCCCTGGACCAAATGCTTCCCCCCTCTTCCCCTGCCCCCCGGTTGTTAGCCTGCTCTCTCTGAGTCTATCTCTTCTATTTTGCTTCTTAGTACATTAGACTCCACATGAGTGAAATTATATGGAACTTGTCTTTCTCTGACTGGCTTATTTTACTTAACATAATGTTCTCTGGATCCATCCATGCTATTCCAAAGAGAGTAAAGATTTCCTTATTTTTTATGGCTGATTAGTCTATTTTATAAATGTATGGCTACTTTTTATTTTTAAATTGATTTCAGAGACAGGAAAGAAGAGAGAGATGGTAACATCAATAGTGAAAAAACATCAGTCAGCTGCCTCCTGCATGCTCCCCTCCTGGGGATAGAGCTCACAACCCTTACGAGGAATCAAACCATGACCTCCTGTTGATCTCTTATCTCCCCCAGATCTCCCTACCCTCATACCTCAGTCACTGAGCCACACTGGCTGGACATGACTGCTTTTTTATCCACTCATTTACTGATGGACATTTGGCCTGCTTCCAAATCTTGGTTAACTATAATAATAAAAGCATATTATGCTAATTAGACTCAATGTCCTTCTAGATCACCTGCCCGATGAAGCCAGGGTTACAAGGGAAACCTGGGTCCTGGGTGTCAGAGGGAAGCCAGTGCCGGCAGCTGAATGAAGAAAGGCCTACTCTTGCACGAATTTCGTGCATTGGGCCTCTAATTGTAAATAACACTGCAATTAACGCCAGGGTGCATGTAGTCTTTCAAATTAGTGTTTCAGGTTTTTTCATATTAATCCCAGAAGTGGAATTGCTGGGTCATAAGGCAGTTCCATTTTTAATATTTTGAGGTAATTCCATACCACTTTACACAGTGGCTGCACCAATCTGCATTCCCAACAGTGCATGAAGGCTCCCTTTTCTCCACATTCTCCCCAACACTTGTTGGTTGATTTATTGATGATAGCCATTCTGACAGGTATGAGGTAACATCTTATTGTGGTTTTAATTGTCATTTATCTGATGATCAGAAATGTTGAGAATCTTTTTATATGTCATCTCTATGTCCTCATTGGAGAAGTGTCTATTCAGGCCCTTTGCCCCATTTTTTAAATTGGATTGTTTATTTTTTTGGTGGTGCATTTTATAAGTTCTTGATATTAACCCTTTATCAGAATATTGTTGGTGAATATGTTATCCCATTCAGTGGGTTGTCTTTTCATTTTGTTGGTTTCCTTTGCTGTGGAAAGCCTTTTTAGTTTGGTGTAGTTCCTTTTGTTTATTTATTTATTTTTTCTTTTGTTTCCCTTACCCCAGGACATCAGAAAAAGTATTGCTATGAGAAATGTCTGAGATTTTACTGTCTATGTTTTCTTCTAGGATTTTTATGGTTTCGAGCCTGACATTTAAGTATTTTATGTTGTCTATTTTTGTATCTTCTGTAAGAAGGTGGTAAAGTTCATTTTTTTTTTTTTGCATATATCTGTCCAATTTTCCCAACACCATTTATTTTTTTAAAAATTTTTTTAAATATAATTATTATCTGTGTACATATTTTAACATTGCCCCCCCCCTAAATACCCTCCCTCCCCAGAGTTTTGTGTCCATTGGTTGTACTTATATGCATGTATACAAGTCCTTCGGTTGATCTCTTATCTCCCCCAGATCTCCCTACCCTCCCTGCTGTAATTTGACAGTCTGCTTGTTGCTTTACTGTCTTTATATCTGACTTTTGGTTCATCAGTTTATAATGTTCTTTAATATCCATAAATGAGTGAGGTCATGTGGTATTTCTTTTTCATTGACTGGCTTCACTCAGCATGATGTTCTCTAGTTCTATCCAGGTTGCTGCAAATGATGAGAATTCCTTCTTTTTTATGGCAGCATAGTATTCCATTGTGTAGATGTATCATAGTTTTTGGATCCAATCATCTGCTGACGGGCACCTACCAACATCATTTATTGAATATACTATCTTTAGCCCATTGTATGTTTTTGCCTCCTTTGTCAAATATTAATTAACTAACGGCTTGGGTTTATTTCTGGGCTTTCTATTCTTTTCCATTGATCTATATGTCTGTTTTTATGCCATTACCATGATGTTTTGATTACTAGAGCTTTGTAGTATATTGGTAGTTTGATATCAGGCAGCGTGAGTCCTCTTTGTTCTTCTTTCTAAAGATTGTTGTGGCTATTTGGGGTCCTTTGTGGTTTCACATCAGTTTTTGGAATATTCTAGTTTTTTGAAATATACCATAAACATCTATTTTTGAAAGAACATGATTACTTTCAAAACTAACGTTGTCTAGAAGAGACAATAAGCATTGCTATGGCAACAAAAGAAAATATGACTTTACAGAATAGAATGTTATAGTAGATTCAGAGCAAAATGAACACTTTGACCAATCATTTTTCTGCTATGAACAGCCTGGTCCATCGAATCAACCTTTTGAAGTGGTGAGACCCGTTCATCCTGGGTGGTGTTATTGGTGTCTATATTTTCCTATTACTGCTGAATGGTTTCCATTGATAGGACATCTCCAGGGACTTTAGGGACTATCACTTTCAGGCTGTGATCTGAAATAAGGAAAAGTAGGAAAGAGAAATTGACTGTCCTGATAATTAGCCTGACCATTAGGATTAATTCAAGATTAATAGTGATGGATTCTGACATGGTCAGATTGAATGAACTGAGCCACAGTTTTCCTGTGCTGTTTTTTCTAACATACACTGTGTTCTGTTTTTAGTTTTGATCAAAGAAAGATCAGAAAAAAAAGATAATCAGGAGCTTCTCTCACTGTATCAAGCAATAGGTAGGGAAGAAAAAAGGCTCTTGGACTGCTAACTAGGGCTTGATTGGAAGTTGGGGTTTGGGGAATTCAGTTTGGACTGTGGTTAGGTCAAGCCAAAGAATCAATTCATGACTTCTTTGGCCACATCCCCAGTATTCTTCTGGGAAAGTAATGAAAAACGACTTTCATAAGACTGATAGTAAACTGGGGTTTTGGAGGGCTGGCAGGTGATAACTTGAAAACTGATGGATGGGAATGGGTGAGCGTAAAGATAGAACAATTCTAGGAGATACCATTTACATTATGTTCCATGGAGTTGTCTAGCAGGACTGATGGAGAGATAAGAGGCGGAAAAAATAAGAAACCTCCCATTTGAAATGATTAAATAAAATTTTAGAGCACATCTAAGAAATCTAATACTAAGAAAGACACCAATAAATTTAACAATTAGAATAAGAATGCACTCCAGATGATATTTAAATTTATAAGACAGATGAGCAAAAACATTTACATGTGTTGAGATTCCAAAGAGGCCCAGTGCACAAATTCATGCTTGGGTGGGGTCTGGCTGGCCCACCCTGATAGGGTCATTGGGCTGGGCCACAGGGTGCCGTGGCGACTATGGGAGATTGGCCAGCCCTGCCACTGATGGGGGGGGGTTGGGGGTGGGACCATCTGGGGGAAGAGCTGCAGGCAGTTGGGGGCCAGTTGGGACTCCATTGGACCAGCTGGCCGCTGCAGTGGGAGTCATAGCAACTGGTCATTTCACCGTTCTGGTCGCTGGGCTTTATATATATATATATATATATATATATATATATATATATATATATATATATGTTAAAGAAGATTAAAAAACTTAAAGAAGTATAATGAAATAAGATCTAAATAGGAAAATAGCTAATTATAAAACTTGGAACTGGAAAAATGTGGTACTAAAATAAAAAAAAAAAGGAATAAAGAAAACAAAGTGGACTTGACATAGGCAAAGAGAATTTGGACGATATTACCGAGGGAATCCACACAGCATAATACAGAGAAATAAAGATTACTAACATTTATCTAATAAATTCAAAAGGAAAAAATGGAGAGAATGGTGGGCAGATAGTATTTGAATTTAACAGCTGATAATTTTTCAGAATTTGAAGAAATTCAAAACTTCAGATTTAAGTACATTTTTGGTATTAAGCATGCTAAATAAAGATAAATTTAGACCTAGACATTAGAGAAAAAAGTTACTAAAAGCTACCAGATTATTTTTTTTCTTACATCTCTGAAATCAATGCATTTTCAGTTAAAGGTATCATATATGCACTGTTGTTAAAGTAGCATTTGTGGTGTATTTATATTGCCCATGAGACCTGGCATGATTGGGCAACTGCATTACTTTGATGCCGCAGTTAACACATCATTTTAAGACCTGAAAAAGGAATAATTCTGATTGTTGTGTGAAAACCTTTTGTTGATGAGACCTTTTGGTAAGATTAAGAAAATGTAAGCTCCAGTGTTTAAAAGAAAGTCTGGAGATATAGTGGAATATTTTTGCTCTTGACGATATAGAAGATAATATGTGGGGAGGAAAAAACAGATATCAGTGATTCCTGAATTGGAAAATAATTGAGGAGCAGAACCTGAATATGAAGATTTAGGAGTACCTCAAATGATTCATTTTCCTTTCCTTCTCATTCTGTTATATAGAAGTGGTGTAGAATAAAAATCTATCTCAAAATAAGTCTAAAATAGCTCTTTGAATAAGTATGAAATAAAATTTTAAGTTATAAGAAAGCATTATTTCATGGTTTGATTTTTTTATTTTATTTTAGTGGTACACAAGTAATGGTGTGCTTTACCATTTTAGTAGTAGCCAAATATGTACATTAAGTGTAACTACTAAAATAAATATAATAGCATACCTCCTAAATCAAGAAAGAGAAGAGGATATTAAAATTTATCAATAAGAAAAGAGAAAGGAAATAGAGAGCAAAGTAAAAGAATGGTACACTGAAAACTCTTCAGTTGTTAGAAATAAGTTTAAATATGTAAGTAACCATATACATATAAAAAATTAGATTTCTTTATAAATAGGTTGATTGTCAGGTTGGGGAAAAGTCTTATGTAAAATAACTTCAATGTTCAGCAGGAAGAGAATGTTTCATATGATATTCAGCAGTTTAAATGGGTAAAATAAATAAAAAGGTAAACTGATAGATATGGGAATTAAAATACTCTAATAAAAGAAAAAATACCAGTGGGGGAGGAATAAATAGTATCTTAAAGTTAAGTTCATGGGAGTTATTACCTTTATTTTTGTGTGTGTGTGTGTGTGTGTGTGTGTGTGTACGCGCGCTACAATTTCTATTACAAAAGTTAAAAAAAAAAAAAACAGAACAAAACAGAATGACCTGAATGTGGGTACATCTGAAAATTATAATGTTGAGGGAAGAATATGTAGATTTTGATGCCTTTGACATAGTCTTTAATGTAAGGGTTCTCTGTCAGAAAACCCTTTTTTATTTACTAGAGGCCTGATGTACGAAATTAGTGCAGGGGAAGGCCTTCCTTCCAGCTTCCCTCTGGCACCCAGAACCCAGGCTTCCCTCACAGTCCTGGCTTTTTCCTGAAGATTGTCCGGAAGGATGCCAATCTAATTATCATATTACGCTTTTATTATTATAGATAAGCATGGGAACAGTAAACACTAGCCACATGAATGGAATTACCTTTGCAGAACAAATGGAGGGAATGAGACTGGGAAAGAAATGGGACTGTATTTGTTCATGTAATATTTAATATTTTTCTTTTTTGAAAATGTATATATTTTTAATTTTTTTACAAAGAAGGAGAGATATAGAGAGTTAGGAACATCCATGAGAGAGAAACATCGATCAGTACCTTCTGCACACCCCCTACTGGGGATGTGCCCGCAGCCAAGGTACATGCCCTTGACCGGAATTGAACCTGAGACCCTTTAGTCTGTAGGCCGATGCTCTATCTACTGAGCCAAACTGGTTTCGGCAGGATGGGCTACTCTGTGTGTGTGTGTGTGTGTGTGTGTGTGTGTGTGTGTGTGTGTGTAGGGACCATTTGAAAAATATATGGTAACTAGGGATTATACTTAAAGAAATGATTGAGCCCTGGCTGGTTTGGCTCAATGGGATAGAGCCTTTGGACTGAAGGGTCCCGGGTTTGATTCTGGTCAAGGGCACATGCCTAGGTTGCAGGCTCAATCCTCAGTGGGGGGTGTGCAGGAGTCAGCCAATCGATTCTCTCTCATCATTGATGTTTCCCTTCCTCCCTCCTTCCCTCCCTTTCTCTCTGAAATCAGTAAAAATGTATTAAAAAAGAGAAATGATTGAGCCTTGATATAAACCAGAAAAGGTTTAATATAAGGTAATAATTTAGATGAAATTAAGGGATTTATATTTGGTTAATATTTTGAGCAAAGCTGTAGCCTATAGTAGTGTCCAAAGGTTTTGAGTTCATGGCTGAAATACAGCTTGTGGTTCAGTTGCCTTGGTGGGGTCGGCAGCTCAGAGGAAGGGTGCCTTTTTCTGATTGTTCTGCTCAGAGGTGATGTCATACTAGATGTGTAGTGGGTCTCTGATTTAGATATATTCAAATCCAAGTCTAAGTAAACCATTTATTTTGCCTTATAATAGATTATTATTATTATTTTAATCCTCACCTGAGGATATGTTTTCATTGATTTTTAGAGGGGAAGGGGGTGAGGGGAGAAAGAGAAACATTGATGTGAAAGAGACATCAGTGGGTTGTCTTCCACACAAAACCTTTTTGGTGTATAGGATGATGCTTCAGCAACTGAGTCATCTGGCCAGGGTTATAATAAGCTTATTATTAGCATGAATGTAGCTTAAAGAAAAGTGTGCATGGATCTTTGAATCATTTTTCCTTTGGTAAATTTGAAAACAAATACTATTATGACATAGTATGTGTCTTACCTTACTCACAAACTTTTATTTTTATAAAAGACCACTTAGCACTCATATTTGTGAACTATGACTAAGTACTTATTTAATATGTCTATATTTGCTTCATAGGACTTTATTATAAAAATTATAGGCATTTAAGCAGAAACATTTTTGGTAGTATATCAGTAAATTTATTTAAATGCTCTAATGAATAAAATTAGACGTAAGATTTATTATCATTAGATAAGCTGTTAAAACCAGTCTTTTATTTATGAGAAGAAATGTAGCTATTGCTTTTAAACGATAATTTCCTCATTTAAGAACAAATGCCCCAACTTCCCTTTTAGTAATGACTTTACAAAAGTGGTTAAATACGTTACTACTAGGACATTTAGTTTCTGTAATTTTATTCTTAAAATTTATGGTATTTCTAAGCATATGTACTATTTAGAAAGTTGTCTTTACTTAATGTGGTATTGCTGCTTGGTTGTTTCCTATGAAACATGTTTCTTGCTTTAAAAAAAATAGATGTTCCCATTACAATTATCTTCTAAAATTGTCTCATCCCTTAACATACATTAAATTGTTATTTCATTTTAATTTATATCAAGAAAGAAGAAAGTTAATTTTGTAGTTCAAAGTGTTTTTGTTTTGTTGCAGGCAGCTGTTAAATCTAAGAAAGCTACAGATACCTATAAAGTCTACGTGGAAAAATATGCATTAGCAAAAGCTGATTTTGAACAGAAAATGACAGAAACAGCTCAGGTTGGTATTTTTAAAGCTTTAAATCTAAGATAGGATATTTATGTATATTGATTAAATATAATTTTTCTGACATATACTTTTTTTAGTACTAGAAATGTTTTCCTTCCCCACCCTCTATCCTCTTGTGCTTCCCCCACCGCCCTGCCTAATAGACCTTTCATTATATAACATACCATGGATTTTATTTGTTGTATTAGTTAGGATAGGCTGGGTATGTTGAGGTAACAAAGAACCTCTCCTCCAAATCTCAGTGACTTATAGTAGCAAAGATTTATTTGTTACGCTACTTGTTCATCATGGTTCAGCTGCATCATCATCACTCTGATACTGAGGATGGTGGAAGAACCTCTTCTTAGAACATTATTCTTGGTCATCATGTCTGAGGGGCTAGAAACATGGTGAAGCACCCACCCATGCCTATGCACGTGTGTGTGTGTGTGTGTGTGTGTATGTAAAAAATATATTTTTTAAAATTTTGTCTTCCCCCCCAAAAATGTAAGTTCTGTGAGAGCAGGTATTCACTTGTTCACTGCTATTTCCTCAGCATTTAAAACAGTCTTCAGATGATGCTAGGCACTCAGTAAGTGTGAAAGAAGGACTTATAAAATCTGACTTTTTGGACTCTAGGGAGTCTTCTCACTGGAAGTGATGAAAGACTCACATATCAGAAATCAAAGGCTTGCTTGTGTGATGGCATGCATCCAACCATCTTTACTTACCCTGTTGTGGGCACTGTGCTGGGTGTATACTGTATCTACTTAAAACCAGTATCTCCCCGCTCTGGAAGTATAGAAGACAGAGGCAGACATTAAATACATGCCTAAATATAAAGTTATAAATTATTACAGTGTTATAAGGGGAAAGAATAGGCTTCCATGAGATAGTATAATAAAAGGGAACCTAATTTTGAGTAGGGAGTTAGGAAAGGCACTTTTTGGGGAAGTGACATTTAAAACTGAGATGAAGAATAAATAAGAGACTCATTCTAGGGCCAGAGTGTTCCAGGCATTGGAGGCCATATAGGTATGAAGACCTCGAGATGTAAGAGGCTGTCACATTATAGAAAGTGTGAAATGCTTGCCAAAACTGAGTAAGGAGAGATGATGGTGAGGCATGAGGTTAGGGAGAACATAGGCAACGACCAGGCTTCTAAGAGTAATTTGAAGACATTGAAGGGTAGTATGTGACATGGTCTGGTCCGAATTTTAAAAGATAATTCTGGCAGTTTTGTGAAGAATAGATTATAGTGAAGACAAAGGAGAATTAACTTTCCCTCTCTCTTCCTCTCTGAAAGCAATAAAAATATTAAAAAGATAGAAGTCTGATCTTCTACATCCCTGCCTATGAGATAAAAAATAATTGGGGGGGTGGTGGTGGGAAGAGTTCAGTTTGGAAGGCAGTTAATAGTGAGATGAAAAGAATGAGGGCCAATGTGGTGGCCTTGGAGAACTCAAGGAGTGAATGCATTTGGAGATGACAGGAGTGGGGTGGATGGAAGAATTCTAGAGAGATCAAGATCTGAGTGTTGGCTTGTAAGTCTGTATGGGTAGAGATGAATAGGAAATACTAGATGAAGAAATGTTATTAGTTTGAGGAGTCAGAGGGACCAGATGTTCAGTTTTAAACAGCCTATACCCAAGTGGAGATAACAAATGGGCAGTTTTGGAGGATATAAGTAAGCTGGATTCCAAAAGTTCTGAAAACAAAAAGCATTTTTCTATAACTCATTTTGCAGCAAAACTAGACCTAAACTCTTGTGAGGCAGTTTCTATACTCTTTATTAATATTACTTAGACTAAATGTACATGTTTTCTTTTAGAAATACTAGTGTTTTTAATAAACAGATGTCACTACAGATCCTGCTGGTAGTATTATGAAATACATGGTAATAGCATCATAATATCTTTTATATTTTTATTTTTTTATTTTATTGATTTTTTACAGAGAGGAAGGGAGAGAGATAGAGAGCTAGAAACATCGGTGAGAGAGAAACATCGACCAGCTGCCTCTTGCACACCCCCTACTGGGGATGTGCCCGCAACCAAGGTACATGCCCTTGACCGGAATCGAACCTGGGACCTTTCAGTCCGCAGACCGACGCTCTACCGCTGAGCCAAACCGGTTTTGGCTACATCATAATATCTTTATTTAAAAAATCAAAATATTGAATTCCCAAACACCTGGTCCCAGAGGTTTTGAATAAAGGATTGTGAGCCAGTATAAAATAGGGGCTTGTCAGCACACAAAGCCATAATGACATCACCTTTGGACAGAGTGGGGGGGAGAAAGGGTCACCCACATTCTGAGAGACTCATCATTGACAGCTTGATAGAGGAAGAGATGCTGAAACCCAAGTAGGAGAAACCAGAGAAGGAAGAAAACTGGGAAGTATAATGTCATGGCAGTTGGGAAATAATATTTCAAGGAGGGCTTATAGTTAGTTGTGTTAAGTTGAGGCTCTAATTCTAGTGAGATAAAAAGTTTTAATTTCTATAGCAACTAAGATCATTGTAGACTTCAGCAAGTGCCCATTCTAAATCAGAATACTCATTTATAAGGCAATTATTGTTGACTTGTTAATTTTGTATTAAAATGACTAGTTCCAATCAGTGAAAATATTTGCCTTTCCATTATTTGTTTTAAAAAACAGGAATTAGAATTTGCTAGAGTCAGGATTTTTTGTTTATAGTACTTTATACAAATATTCCTTTTTTTTTTTTTTAAATATATTTTTATTTATTTCAGAGAGGGAGAGATAGAAACATCTATGATGAGAATCATTGATTAGCTGTCTCCTGCATATCCTATACTGGGTATCAAGCTTGCTGGCCTATAAAACTATTCTTAAAAGAATTGTTAGCATTCATTTTTTTTTTAAAAAGTATATTTTATTGATTTTGTACAGAGAGGAAGGGAAAGAGATAGAGAGTTAGAAACATCGATGAGAGAGAGTCATCGATCAGCTGCCTCCTGCACACCTCCTACTGGGGATATGCCTGCAACCAAGGTACATGCCCTTGACTGGAATCGAACTCAGGACCCTTCAGTCCCTAAGCCGACACTCTATCCATTGAGCCAAACCGGTTTCGGCAGCATTCATTTTTTTAAAAAATTTTATTTCCTTATCTTTCTCTTTTGCTTTCTCATTACATTTTCCCCCCAAAATTGGCATTTTAATTGTTTATCTTGACATTTCCAAGATGGGAACATTAATTTATTTGATCAGATATATAAATAACCATGCTGCTCTTAAATAAAGATAAAGGCATACTGTGCTAATGTGTTCTCTCTCCTGCCTGCCTGATTAATGCCTAACTGCTCCCCTGCCAGCCTGATTGCCCCTAACTGCCCTCCCCTGCAGGCCTGCTCACCCCCAACTGCCCTCCTCTGCAGGCCTGGTCCCTCCCAACTACCCTCCTCTGCTGGCCTGATCACCTACAACTGCCCTCCCTTGCAGACCTGGTCCCTCCCAACTGCCCTCCCCTGCTGGCCATCTTGTGGAGACCACCTGTGTCCACAGGGAAGCAGCTATCTTGTATGCTGAAGTGACAGGCAGTTTGCATATTACTCTTTTATTAGATAGGATGGAGGTTTGGTGCATGGGTGGGGACTGGCTAGTTTGCCCTGAAGGGTGTCCCGGATCAGGGTGGGGGTTCCCTTGGGATGTGGGGCAGCCTGGATGAGAGCCTGTGGTGGTTTGCAGGCTGACCACGCCCCCTGGTGAACCAAGCAGAGGCCTGGTATCTGGGATTTATTTATCTTCTATAATTGAAACTGTAGTCTTGAGCAGAGGCTAGGGCAGGCCAGAGCAGGTGGGAAGCTTGGCTTCCTCCATTGCTGGGGAAACCCAAGCCTCCAGTTAGCTCCATGGCTGCAGCTATCTTGGTTGGCTTAATTTGCATACTTAATCCTGATTGGCTGGTGGATGTAGTGGAGGTACGGTCAATTTTGCATGTTTCTCTTTTATTAGTGTAGATGGGTGATGGAATTTAATTTGAAAAAATAACCAGAGAAATAACCCCAAAACATTTAGACCTATTTCTTCAAACTGATTTAATGCGGGAAGGTGGGGGGGAGGTAATAATCAGGCTTGGGCATGGAAATGACAAATGTATTTTTTAGTGTTATTATTTTTTAAATTTACCTTTATTGTATTTCAGATACTTCCCTTTTTGTTGTTATTTTCCCATTGACCCCATCTACTCTGCCCACAAGCCTGATTCACCATATTATTGCTGTGGCCATGGGCTATGCATATACGTTCCCCTCTACCTCCCTTCCCTCTGAAATTTATCAGTCTGTCCCATGGTTCTATGTCTCTGGAACTATTTTGTTTATCAGATTATTTTGTTCATTAAATTCCTCATGTAAATGCAATCATGATTTCTCTGTCTTATTTCGCTTAGTGCATAATATTTGACAAATGTATTTTGTTTGAAAATGGCTAGTTCGGCATTTCCCAAATGTTGTTTTGAGAACTAATTGTTCTGTGAGATATTAATAGATATTCAGAGATGAAGAAAAATTGGGTGGTTTGGTAAAAAAATATTGGAAAACACTGAGTTAGGCAAAATAAAACAAATTTTGTTATGCAATAATTTTCAGACTTTTTAATGTTTATTATGAAGCCAAGTCTAACAATAGTTTTCTTACTGGGGAATAAATGCAGGAATAACCCGGGAATTTTTTCCAAACAACATTCTCACCTCTTTCTGCCCCCACGCCCAGGTAGTAATGGAGGATCTGTGTGTTTTGTAGTGATCTGATGTATCCTTACCTTCAGTTGAAAACTGCTAAAATAGGGTTTACAGACTTCCCAAATTTATTTGACCACAGAATATCTTTCGAAGACTACATATTAAAATTTTGAGAATTAGAAAGACATTTTAAGAGCCTGTAGGCTAGATTGTAAAGTGTTTAGAAGTAAACTGTAGCTTTTCAGTTTTTGAAACACTTTTTCCTTGATTTTTATGTCAGACACCCATATTTTCTGCGTCTCCTTATTTTCTGACCATGATAATAGGTTTTAATTTGTGTTATGTTCAAACTGAAATTGTTTATGTTTACCTGAGAAATGGCACAACAAAAAGTTAACTTTTCTCAGTGCTATATTTCAGTATGTTTCTTAAACCCATTTGTCTAGAAGCATTGCTAAATATTTCATAATGAGTAACTAGCTAAATTTGGTTAGCTGTATAGAGATAACTTCTAAAAGATCTTTTGATTTTAGTATATATGTGTATGTGTGTATACATATTTTATGTATGTTACTTTTTGTATTTTTTATTCAGAAATTTCAAGACATTGAAGAAACTCATCTCATTCACATAAAGGAAATTATAGGATCCTTGTCAAATGCTGTAAAGGAAATTCATTTACAAATAGGCCAGGTAAGTTTTTACTTCATGAACTGATTCATGAACATTTTGTGTTCATTTATGACTCTTAAAAAATCTCAAACTCCTAACATGATACTGAGTTATTTCAGATTAAAAAATATGTATTTACAGCCCTAGCCAGTTTGGCTAAAGGATGGAGCATCAGCCTGTGGACTGAAGGGTCCCAGGTTCAATTCTGGTCAAGGGCACATGCCCAGGTTGAGGGCTTAATTCCCTGTAGGGGGCATGCAGAAGGCAGCTTATCAATGATTCTCATCATTGATGTTTCTCTCTCTCTTCCCTTCTATGAAGTCAATAAAAATATATTTTAAAAAGTATGTATTTACATGTATTAACAGTAAAATAAACTGAATTTTTTATTGGTTACCAGAGATGATAATTCAAATTAATTTTTAAAGTTAACTATGCTCAGTTCTCTTTACATTAAAATTCTGAATTTAACCAATTTTTAAATATATATTTTTTAAAGTTTCACTATTTTAAAATTTAGAACAGCAGTCGTAAGTTATAGAGCCTGTACTTAGAAATTTTCCAAAAATGTAAAGGCAGTTTAACGATCATAATTTCAGATGCATTGAAATATAGTAGAGAAAGATGAAGTCTGTTTTTCTTTATTATTAAAGATCTAAAATTTATTTTTTTTAAATTTATTTTTTAATATATTTTATTGATTTTTTTACAGAGAGGAAGGGAGAGAGATAGAGAGCTAGAAGCGTCGATGAGACAGAAACATCGACCAGCTGCCTCTTGCACATCCCCCACCAGGGATGTGCCAGCAACCAAGGTACATGCCCTTGACCGGAATCGAACCCGGGACCTTTCAGTCCTCAGACCAACGCTCTACCACTGAGCCAAACCGGCTTCGGCAAAGATCTAAAATTTAAATTATTAATCATAAGGATTATGTTCCAGAACATTCCAAGAAGCAAGAAGCTGCATTTACTTCTAAGGTTGTGCAGCCATATCTAAGGGGTTCATGTAAACAGTGATTGGTACCCACAGTTCTATTAACACTGTAAGATAGGCAACAGAGCATGTTTAGTAAATGAAAGTTCTTAAAGGCTCTGGCTCAAAATACACATTTGGTGTAATGAATTTTAATTGCTTTGTGGAAGTTTTGTCTGACAGTAAAAATATGTACAGAAAAAGAAAGAATTTATCTTTATCTCATTTTAATAGGTCCATGAAGAATTTATAAATAATATGGCTAATACTACAGTTGAAAGCTTGATACAAAAATTTGCTGAGTCAAAAGGCACTGGGAAGGAAAGACCTGGTAAGATGATAAACTCTGCAAGGAAATGTATTCACATTTCCCATCCAGCAACTAATGTGTTTGCTTTTAAATTCCAAAACTTCAAAATGGAGCTTGGGAGATAGCTGAACATTTATGTAAGATCTTAGGTATCATTTACTTTGTGCTTGGATTATGTTATAAATTAAGATTTTTGTTTTAAGCTTTAGTGGTTAACAACCTCCTGCTCCATCCGTGGCTGCTACCATTTGTGTTTGGATTTGTTTATCTTCTATAAATGAAACTTTGAAGCCTTGAGTGGAGGCCTAGGCAGGCTAGGGAAGGCTGCATTTACTTCTAAGGTTGTGCAGCCATATCTAAGGGGTTCATGTAAACAGTGATTGGTACCCACAGTTCTATTAATACTGTAAGATAGACAAAAGAGGATGTTTAGTAAATGAAAGTTCTTAAAGGCTCTGGTTCAAAATTTAAAAGCTTGGCTTCCTCTGTTTCCTGAGGAACCCAAGCCGCCTTCCTGCTCTCTGTGGTTGTAGTCATCTTTTTGAGTTTATTTGCATACTCGCTCTGATTTGCTGGTGGGCGTGGCTTGTGGATGTAGCGGAGTGATGGTTAATTTGCATATTACTCTTTTATTAGGTAGGATATGCAGTGACATTTTTGTCATTTTTTTATTGAGATATAATTGACATATAATATTGTATTTGTTTTTAATGATTTGATATATTGTACTTATTGCAAAATGATTACCAAAATAATTTTAGTTTAAATATCTATCCCCACACACAGTTTTTTTCTCATGGTAAGAACTTTTAAGAACTACTTGCTTACCTTTTAAATATATGGTACAGTATTGTTAAGTGTAGTCACCATGCTTTGTATTTCATCTCCAGGACTTTTTGACTTTGTAACTGGAAGTTTATAGCTTTTTGTCTATTTTCACCCATTTTTCTAATCCCCCACTTCCCACTTCTGACAACTGCTAACATGTTCTTTGTATTTCTTTTAGATTCCACATATAAATAAGATTATACAATATTTTTTTTTCTCTGACTTATTTCACTTAAGCAGAATACCCTCAAGTTCCATCTATACTGTCATAGAACAGACTTTTTTCTTTGTTATGGCTGAATAATATTCCATTGTATATATACACAACAATTTTTTGATCCATTCATCTGTAAGTGAACATTTAGATTGTTTCTATGTCTTGGCTATTGTAAATAGAGCTGCAGTGAACATGGTGGAATGCAGATATCTTTTTTATTTCATTTCTTTCAGATAAAATTCAGAATTCCTGGATCTATGGTGGTTTTACTTTTATATTTTTGAGGAACCTCCATATTACTTTTGACATTACTTTTTTTTTAGTATAATACTGCCTGGCTCTTCTGGAATTTGTGTCACTGTAATTGGATGCTTGAAATATCAAAGCACCTCTTGACTGAAAGGGTCATGAAAAAACAGGTGTTTTCTAATTTTGAGTATCTTTTTATGTTCTAATAACATTATCCTAGTATTTCTACTTATTCTCATCTGTTATTGCCAAAGGAGATTAAAATCCATGTTTTTGACGTTTCCTGTTTTATAGTCAGTCTGCTTAATTAATTAGTTAATTAATAATTTTAAGAGTATGTTTATTAAAGCTGGGGACAATGAAACAAGGAAGTGCCTCAATAGAAGAAGCAACAGGAGAGAGCCTGGGCAGGGCTGCTTTGGCTCCCTAGAGACGTTATGGGAAAGAAGTGAGCCAATGTGGGGCTGCTGTCGGCACATTGGAAAGTCAGAGAAAAGGGGGCCTTGGAGACAGGACCCAGGGTGTTAGCCCAGACAAGGAGGGAGGGTCAGAGCGTGTTCACTGATATCCAGCTGAGCTGTCAACTGGCACTGAGCCAGGCACGCAACGCTTTGCTATGTGAAACTGCATGCGGAGCATATGCAGTTTGAAAAGAAAATCTTTTCATGCATGATTTAATGTATTTTTAAAAGAAGGGTATATTTAGTTTTATTAGACCACAAACTGTGTTAGTATTCTGATCTTTTATAGAAAACCTTACGTATACATGGTATTTAGCTTAAAATTTTTAATATTTTACAATTTGAGAGGATTTGACATCTTATATATTTAAAATGTCATTTTGAATAATTTATTTTATTGGACATTTTCATTTTTCAAATGAATTTGAAGGGATGTTTAGAAAAGATAAAGAGAAGAGCCATCAAGATATGTCTGGTATAGGAAAAAGGTTTTGTGAAAAAATATATAGAATTTTGTTTAAAGGGATTAATTTTTATAGATTTAAGGCATGTTTTTACTGTGTTCACAAAAAGATACAGTTGACCCTTGAACAATGGGGGTTAAGGGTGCTGACCTTCAGGCAGTCCAAGATCTGTATATAACTTGACTACCCAAAAACTTAAGTTGTATTTTGGTATCTACGGGTGGATTGGTTCCCTGATCCCTACAAATACCAAAATCCACATATACTCAAGTCCCCTATATAAAATGGAGTAGATTAGTACATGCAGCTGGCCCTCAGCATCTGCGAACTCCTGTGGATCAAAAACAATACAAGTATTTATTAAAAAAAATCTGCTTATAAGTGTACCTGCATAGTTTAAACCCATGTTGTTTAAAGGCCAACTTTTTTTGTAATGGGATTTGATTGGATTGTTTTCTACTAGCTTTTTCTAGCAGTTGTTTATATATATGCATATACATATATTTTTTTAGGCCTTATTGAATTTGAAGAATGTGACCCTGCTAGTGCAGTTGAAGGTAAGTTGACTAATTGTAATGTGTGATAACTAGCTAATATTTTCTGTTTATTGAACAAATAAAGAGGGCTGCTGTCCATTGCCGAGCTTGTTTGTGGAATGATGTAAAAAATCTTAATGTGGTTTGAAGGCTTACAGAAACTCATTTTTACTTAATAAATAAACAGGTTAGTCAAAAGATGATTAGTGATTAGAACATATATTTTGAAAGATTAAATATAACATGTATGTCATGTTTTAGAAATCTTACTTTGTGAGTTACTAGAAATAATTTGAAAGCAAACTTCTATTTTTTTCTAAGACCTGTGTAAGAATTTGGAGAAATGGTTTGCTGTCATTTGTAAGTTTACTATTGGAGCAGTCAAGAGCTCTGGGGCCTAGATTTCTTAAGGTTACTACCTGTTTGTGAGCAGGAATGATTTAAATTCTCTGTGCTTCAGCTTTCTTTATTGTAAAATGTAGATAGTAAATACTACTCTTAGAATAAAACTGTACTTGGTTTAAAAAATATAACGATAAATGTATGATTTAAGGAGTTTGTTTTGCTTGAATACAAGTACATTATTCTAAGATGCCTGAATTCTAATCCTGGCTATAGTGTTTACTTAGTCATATAACACTGACTTAAAAAAAAAGAAAAGAAAAATAATACCCTTGAGTTTCATCATCAATAAGATGAGACGTTAGCTTAGGTGTGCTCAAGTTCTCAAAGAGGAAGCAGCTAAGCTTTAAGTGTTGAACTCCAACAATTTAATAGCACGACTGACCTTTAAAAATTAATTTGTCATGTAAGAAGAGGAGGGAGAATTGCCATATTAGTCAAAACAAAAATATTAGTTCCTCATTCATGGTAAGGTCCACTTATAACATTGTTTATATTAGAGATAATATGTGGATGCCATATTTAAGCTTTCCATGTTATACTATTAATGGATATGTTGAGTCATCATTTTACTTAAAATAACACGTTTATATTTTGTGACCTATTTCCTTATATTTATAATAAAATCCAATATAGCAAATAATGTACTGACTTGGGGAATACTAATAGAAGAAAAGATAATTTCATTGATCAAGCGAATCTTCTAAAACCTTTTGGTGAATAACAGGCGACAGTATGTTAATATAAGTCTAAGGAGAATATAACTGATTTCAGTATTAGGGTTTAACAATAGATACATTCATTTCTATCATCTAAAATTAGTATCGACAGTTATGAGCAAATTAGGTATCTAGACACAAGATGCATTCATAAATTTAATATATTTATCAGGAAGAGTTAATGTTTATGTAACAATACACATTTTTTAATACACATTTATTTTAAGGTATAAAACCAAGGAAAAGAAAGACTTTTGGCTTGCCAGGAATAATTAAAAAGGAAAAGGATGCAGAATCTGTGTAAGTATAACTATTGTCAGAATACTTTTTTATTATAAATAAGACATTTTTGAATTTGAAAAGTAAAAATTCTTTTGTAAATAGCTCAAATTATATATGTCTAAGAGATGAAAATACTAACTTTTCTTAATGTATTTGCCAGCTCCTCTGGTTTCTTAAAAGTATTAAAAATATTCACTTTTCTTATTTTAAAATTTAAGATGAAAGTTTTAGTGTCTTATAATTGAAACTTTAAAACTACTCTTTTAAAATTAAATGCATATTTTATTTTTAAAAATATTTTAAATGCATATTTAAAAAAATTTAAATGCAGAGAAAACTATAAAATCTTCTAAGTCTTGATGCCTAAGAAAAACCTATAGTTAACAATTTGATGAAAATCCCTCTAGACAATTCTAAGCATGTAGGGACATAGCATTTGTGTACAGTGCGATTTGACTTATAATGAATGGGGTTATACACTGATAAACCTGTCATAACTAAAAATATCGTTAGTTGAAAATGTTTGTAATACTCCTACCAAACATCATAGCTTAGCTTTAAAGATGCTACTTTAAACATGCTCAGAACACAATATCTGAAAAAACCCTCCAAAAAAACCCCCAGCAACACAGTACAGATGGACCCTGATTTAACAGTGGTTTAACTTAATGATTTTTCAACTTTACAATGATGTGAAAACAATATGCATTCAATAGAAATTGTACTTCGAATTTTGAATTTTGATCCTTTCCTCAGCTGGGAATGTGCAGTCTGATTCTCTCTTGTGATGTTGGGTAGTGGCAGCCTCCATGATTATGAGGTTAAACAACTGACACTCTACAGTGTACACTGCTGCCAGTGTTTTTTAGATATTGTGTTTTGTGTTTTTGCGTCCCATCATATCTGTAAAACTCACATTTGTGTCTCCTGCTTCTGGTGAAAAGAGGAAGGCGAATATTCTTGAGATGAAACTCGAGACAATTGCACAGCTGTAAGCTCATGTAAATATTCTGAGCACATTTAAAGTAGGATAGGCTGCCGAAACCGGTTTGCTTGGTGGATAGAGTGTCGGTCTGAGGGCTGAAGGGTCCCAGGTTCGATTCCGGTCAAGGGCATGTACATTGGTTGTGGGCACAAACCCATTGGGGGGGTGTGCAGGAGGCAGCTGATCTATGTTTCTAATTCTCTATCCCTCTCCTCCCTCTCTGAAAAATCAATAAAATATATTAAAAAAAAAAAAAAAGTAGGCTAGGCTAAGTAAACTATGACATTTGGTTGGCTATTGCATTAAAAGCATTTTCAACTTATAGTGGGTTTATCAGGACATAACCTAATCGGGAATCAAGTCTCATCTCTGCCCTGTTAAGATATCGGTCTATCATTAAGTCGAACCATTGTATGTGGGGACCATCTGTATGCATACATGGAAAATGTTAAATGTTGGAGAAAGAAAACCCTAACGTGTTTCAAACATTTAGACCAGTCATCATTTTTAGATGGAGATGGAGTATAAATTCAATATACCTTTTTTAAAAAATTAAGAAATTAGTATGCAAAGAATATATAATTTAGCATGTAAGAATTTCAACTAGTCCTGGCCAGTGTGGCTCAGTTGGTTGGACTATTGTCCCATGCACCAAAGAGTTGCGGGATCGATTCTTGGTCAGGGCACATAACCAGATTTCGGGTATTATCCCTGCTTTGGAATGTGTATAGGAGGCAACCGATTGATGTTTCTATCTCTCTCTCCCCCTCTCTTCCCTTTCTCCCTCTCCTCTCTCTCCCATTTCTCCCTTCCTCTCTCTAAAATCAATATAAAAGTATATCCTCAGGTGAGGATTTAAAAAGAAAAAGAATTTTAAGAATTATTAGCTAAATGAAGTGTCTATCTTGACTGCACATTTGAACTACCTGGGAAATTTAAATATTATCTATGCCTGGCTCCATCTCAGACCAATTTAACCAGATTTATGGTCAGGAGGCCCCAGCATAGTCTTTATTTTGTTTTAAGCAGCCTATGTAATTGCTTATATACATCTGGGGTTGAGAATCAATGAGTTTTGATTAACCAGAGACAAAGTGGAATTAAAGACATCCTTCTTTCTGTAATTATTCAACCCATGTAGATTGAAGAACACTAATTAAAAGTCTTAACTGGTTTGTTGACCCAGTGACATTGGCTGAAAATTTAAAATTCTTTTCTAGCATAATCAGAACTCAAACGAAATTTAATATTTTGATGGGCACTCATATTTGCAGTATAAGAGAACAATTTGTGCTTTGGGTGTTTTTGTCTACTAATTCTTATTTGAGTTTTTCAGAATTTCTGGCCATTCTAAATGTCTGTTTCATCCTCTCTTATAAGTGGTATTTAGTTAACAAATTAAGACAATTACAAAGTGATTTATATCTATAGATGACATTTGCCATCTCTTCTGCAAATGTCATTTTTGAGCGTTTATGAAAGGGGTATTTTGCTAAGGGGATGGAACCCAATCCATTTTTATAACACTGGAAATACATTTTGAAGTCTAAACAATTGATTTGTAAGTAAATTTTTAATGCAGCTATTCATTTGATAGTGATTATACTATAAAAGGTAATGGCCATAGCCCTGGCTGGTTTGACTCAGCGATTGGAGCATAGGCCTGAAGCGTTGCGAGTTCCATTCCAGTCAAGGGCCAAGGAGTAACAAATAAAAATAATGGCCATAATTAAATATTTTTATAATGTGTGCTTTTCACAGCAGTTCATTCAGGGAGCTTACAATATTTTTGTATATTTGTGTTTTTATATATTTATTTACTTTGAGTTATTATTCATTTTTAATCCTCACCTGAAGAATGTTTTCTTTTTCTTGCGTGTATTTTTCTTAAATATTTTTATTGATTTCAGAGAAGGGAGAGGGAAAGATAGAAACATCAATGATGAGAATCATTGAGTGGCTGCCTCCTGCATGCCCCCTACTGGGGATCGAGCCTGCAACCCCGGGCATGTGCCCAGACTGAAAATTAAACTCTGACATCCTGGTTTATAGGTTGATGAGCCACAACAGCTGTGCCAAGGAAATTTTTCCATTGTTTTTAGATAAAGTGGAAGGGAGATAGGAGGAGAGAGAGAGAGAAATATCTATGTGAGAGAGAGACACATAGATTGGTTGCCTTCTGCTCACATACCTACTGGGCCTGGGATCAGGCCTGCAATCGAGTTAATGCCCTTGACTGGGAAGAGAACCCACCACCCTTTGGTGCTCAGGCCAACGCTCTAATCACTGGGCCAAACCAGCCAGGGCTATATCTGTGTTATTAAATAATTTTTCATGATGAGTAATTTCTCAGTATGATCAATAGGCCATTTGGATATTGTAATATTTTTACCAATGAAAAGGCTAGAGCAGAAAATTATCCTTAAACCATTGTACCATGATTTCCTTCTTTCAACACTTCCTGGCAGAAAAAAGTGTTAGAATTCGCTTTGCTTAAAATGCCCAAGTTTCTTGGCAGACTTATTCTCATAGCCTCAGGCTTTTGAAATGCCAGCAGTTGTGGAAGAGGATGCTCTTCCTGGGGCTTCCTCTGTAGGTGGCGTAGAGCCCACTGTGAAGGCAAGCAGAGAGTACTGTGACATAAACAGCGAGGAGTTCTGTTCGGAAGTTGTTCCCTTGCTTTTATATTTAAACTGTACTTTTTAAAAAAGGTAGAAAGTAGAAATGTTTTAACATCTTAATTGATTTGATTCTGTAGAGGGATTGAATTTATAGTGCCTTTTCTGGTGGAACATTTCCTCAGAGTATACTTAGGTTTCTTCATTTACCAATAAAAAGGAAGCTCTTTTTCAAAATTTGCGATTTTAAGTGGATATAAAGACATGAGATTTGTATTTACCCTGTCCCTTTGGTGCTTCAGTTTGGATTAAGAGCTGTGTAGTCATTCTGCATTGTTTTCATTTATTCAGTATATTCCACTATAACTTCCTTTTACAAAAGTTTTTAATTTGTATATTTTTCTGATTTGTGCTTCCTCTTTGGTTAGAGATTATTTGTTTATCCTGCATGTTAATTTAGTGCTTTTTATTGTTTGTTTGGCTCTTAAGGTGTACTTAATGCCTATATTTTCAGTCTGTTAAAATGGCACATCTTGATATTATGTGCATTATCTGTCTCAAGCCTAAGAATATGTAACTAATCCAAAAGCCTTTTAAGTATGCACTCTAATTTTTATTTATGAATGTTTAAAGAATGCATACATAGAAAATTTCCTAACCTTATTCCTCATGGCTTCAGTGTCTAGTTTTACATTTTAGGTTAATTGAGAAGATTGGTTTTTATGTTTAGTTTTATATTTTAAGTAATAGTGTTTGCTTATTTATATCCAAAGTCATATTTGTATATCAGTTAAATGATAAAATACCAGTTCTGAACTACATATTACATTAGACTAGGAAGTTAATGGAAGTCTAACCACTCACTTAACAAATTTGGAGAAAAGTCGTTTTGAAACTTTTTATATAAAGTAACTTATAGAAAGTACTACACTTTGAAATGTCAGTTTTGAAAGTATAGACTTTAAAAAACGTTTTAAAATTTTATTTTAAAATGTTTTTTTTTAACCATTAAGAAATATAAATGTGGACTTTTTTTTTTTTTTTTTTAAAGCCGGGCTTTCTTTTTCGAAGGAAACTTTGTTTTGCACTTTCTCTCCCTGAAGAATGAAATGCTACTAGAAATCTTCATAGGACTGACAACTTCCTTGATATGATTCATGTGTATATTCAAGGAAAAGAAGTACTTTTGAAAGTAGTTTTAAAACCATTTGTGTTGTTTTATGATGTCATGGATTATGGGTACAGAAATGCCTTGTTTTAAATTTAAAAATAATCTTTTAAAATCTTTATGAGATTATTTTTCTAAGTATTTTTGTAGAGTTTAAATAAAAGTTATGCTTAAATACCATGGTAGACACTTTTAATATTGCATTATTTTCAGATAGTTCTAATAGCTTAATGTTTCTAATACTTGGTTTGTTTTAATAGGGAATGCCCTGATGCAGATTCACTTGTAAGTAGATTTTTACTTTGATATAAATAATTTAAATGAGCTTTTTTAAATTAGGAAATACCCAGCATATTTGGGTTGAGTTGTTTACAAATCTTTTCAAGAAAAATACTTATGTTATTATAAATCCACTATTAAAATGATTTTACAGATGCATATTTGGCTTTATATTGCCAGATGCTTTCCTGTCAAATTGAAGTTGTTTCTAATTACCTTTAAAAAGTGGACATTTTACTTTTAAATTGGAGTAGTAACATAGCATATTGCTTTTTTGGGGGCAAGTATGTCATAAATCAAATCTGCTCACTTTATTTTAAAATATGGTAGTTATTTATTCCTTAAAAATAGTACTTTATCTGTTCATGTATTTAAGTTTATTTAAGAGATTATCAATTTAGAAAAAATAACCATTGTTTGTATTTTTCTGTGCTTTTTGTGTTTTTTAAAATTTGTTTTTATCTCATATATTTCTTTATATGTAATTAAAGAAGATATCAAATGGAACTCCATGTGGTTACAGTGGGAGAGTAGATTTACCAAATGGTATATTTAGTATGTAAACAGAGACATTTTTCAGAATTGCTCTTTAAACTCTGGTTATGTTAAGTATAGTAGAGCCAAGTTTTCCATCTCCTCTGCTTATTGTTTTTGCTTGCATAACTATTGTTTCTTTTGGCCCCAAAACAGTTTGATCTGTTATAGCATAATGATATATCAAAATAAATAACTAGGTATTTTGTGTAACATTGTGTTTTATATAAAGATAAAATTAGTATTTTGTTTAGTATTTCAGCTTTAAAATAAGGAAACTATCATTTGTTAATAAATTTATAGTGAAAATAATGAAATAGACTTCTAATGAGCTCTAGGAATCAGTGTTTTTAGAGTACAACATTTACCTTACCACTTACTATTTTGATAACCTTGGTTTATTAATTAATGGAAAAGTCAGCAGATGTTTGACATTTACTCATGCATTTTATTTCAGAATTAGTTATGTATAGTATTTGTTTGATGATTGCAACATTGCATGAAATCCTTTAGTACTTAATATTGTATTTTATATATATTCCTTTAAAACATTTTTATTTTTTTAATATATTTTTATTGTTTTCAGAAAGGAAGAAAGAGGGAGAGAGAGAGAGAAATACCAGTGATGAGAGAGAATTATTGATCAACTGCCTCCCTGCATGCTCCCTACTGGGGATGGAGCCACAACCTGGGCATGTGCCCTTAACCAGAATTGAACCTGGGACCATTCAGTCTGCAGACTGACACATTATCCACTGAGCTAAACCAGTTAGGGCAAAACATTTTTATTCTCTTCACTCATTGATATTATTCTATAATGATCACTGAACCAGTTTTGAACTTTAGTCAGTACTTGCCTGGAATTAGAAAAGGACTTTTAAAGAGGACACAAAATTCTTATGCCATATAAGAAATGAGTTGTTTTTTATAATTGAATTTATTGGGGTGCAAAACATAGAAGTTTTAATGTACAACTCAAAACACACACACAAAAACCCACACCCTCTCACGCGCGTGCGCGCACGCGCGCACATACACACACACACACACACACACACACACACACACACACAAAAAAAAAAAAACAAAAAAAAAAAAAAAACCCAGCACATCATCTGCAAATCCCAGATAGGAGAACCTCTAGGAAATTAAATATCTGGTATGTTTCTAGAGTACTAGGAATTAGAGATAAAGTATTTTTAATGAATCGACATTTGGCCAAGTTTATTTTAAAAGTATTTTTAAATGTTATTTGCATATTAGCAAGCAATATGTAGAAATAAAGTGCACTATTTTTAGGGTCATCACTGGACATATTTTTATCTATGTAATCTGTTCTTTACCCTATATTAGATTTTTTATTTCTAGAGTTTATATCTGGCCTGTTAATTCACTACAGGCTACATCAGAGTGTTTATTCTGCTTTTATTTCTCCTAGATCTTATGCTATGCCTGACTCAGATTAGCAATTCTTTGTATTCCTCTTGCTGAGGTTTTAGCAAGTGATTGGAGAAAGAATGGCAAACTTTACCAACAGAAGGATATTGGCTGCCCAATAATATCTTTTGTCCTGGCATTTTTTTTTCTCCTTTTTTTTGTAATATATTTTATTGATTTTTTTCACAGAGAGAAGGAGAGAGGGATAGAGAGCTAGAAACGTCGATGAGAGAGAAACATTGACCAGCTTCCTCCTGCACACCCCCCACCGGGGATATGCCCACAACCAATGTACATGCTCTTGACCGGAATCGAACCCGGGACCTTTCAGTCCGCAGACCAACGCTCTACCACTGAGCCAAATCGATTTCGGCTGTCCTGGCATTTCTTGACAGTCTTTTTTTCAATTTTAAAACCTTTTATTTTAAAATAACTTCTAGTTTACCAAAAAAATGCAAGACTGAATAGTAGAAAGAACACTTGTATATGTTTAACTTTTTACTTACTATTTTGTATTAACATTTGCTTTCTCCCTACATATGTACATACATTTATGAATGTGAATATATTTTTCTGAACGTAGAAATGTTCTCTTACCTAATTACAAGAGCATACTTAAAGAAATGTCACTCCCTTCTGTATTTTTCTACTCCATTGCTCTGCCTTGTAAATGATCAACTTTGTGTTTTGATTTATCCTTCTGGTGATTTAAAAAAAAAAAAAAAAGATTGGCAGGTATGCATGTTTTTTAATTTTCTTTTTTCTTAGAATATATTACACTATATATATTCTTTTGTACTTTTTTTTTTTTTTTTTAAATCCTTACCCAAGGTATGATGATATTTTTTCCATTGATTTTTACAGAGTGGAATTGGGTAGGAGGAGAGAAACATCAATTGATCTGAGGGTGGGAGTGGATGGGGTGGGGTGAAGAGGAGGAGAAGGATGGAACCTGCAATCCACATATGTGCCCTTGACTGCAATCTAACCTGCGGCCCTCCAGTCTGACACACTTAACCACTGAGCCACCAGTGCCAGGGCTCTCTTTTTAAATAGCTGTATAGTACTGTTTTTGGGTGTGTGCCACAGTATATTCAACTATGCTTTCCAATAATATTTGAGTTACAATCTTTGATGAATAATTTTGTTGTATATGTATTTTTAAATAGTTGGGGGTGTATCTTTGGGGGAAATTCCTTGAAGTGGAATTCCTGGGTGGAAGAGTAAGCACATATGTATTTTTGTTAAATATTGTTAAATTTCTCTTTATAGAGGTTACAATAGGGTAAGTACTCCATGTTGTTGATAGGTTCTGCGACCTTATGTAAAACTATATAACTAAATCAGTTTCACCCTAGGGTAATAGATTATAAACAAGAGTTAAGTTCCCATGGCATCTAGCCATTGTTAAAACAAAACGACCTTATTCAAGGACTGCAATATTTTGCATTTATAACAGTGAAGTGTAAGAGTACATTTCCCCACAGCTTTGCCAACTATTTTGAAATTCAAAATTCAAACTTTTAAATTTTTGCCAGTCTCGTAAGGAAGTAGTATTTTAATGTAGTTTTACTTTTCTTGATAGTCTTTTATTTCTATTTTTTTGTTCTCTATTTTTCCATTAACTTAAGCTGTCAGTCTTCTGATTTCATCACTTCCATTCTCCAAACACACACAGTATTGTGCTTTTATTTCCTTACTTTGAAAATTTGGGTGAATATTGATTGTCTACAGAACTGCTAGCATTTTTACCTGAATACCTGTTCAATTCCTTTCAGTGTTCCCCTTGTTTCATTTTGCAATGCTTTTCTATTTCAGACATCTGAAGCATGGAGTGTGATTTGAAGCTAACTAAAAAGATATAATTTCCCCAAAGTGTTAGAATTTTGTTAACCTATTGACATTTGATATATGATATAGCACCTCAGTAATAGTTAAGACTATTTGGTAATCCTATATAATACAAGACTAATATGCAAATTGTCCTCTTGACTGGGAGTTTTACTAGAGGGCTGGGCTGACAGCGGCAGGGGGAGGGGAGGCCCCTGTGGCTGGCGGCGGAAGGCAGCCAGGGCAAGAGAGGCACCCTGACCGGCAGCCAGCAGCCACTAGGGACCCTACGTGTGCACAGATTTTGTGCACTAGGCCTCTAGTCTCTAATAATATTTTTTTAGTTGGAGCCATCATTACAGTTTTCTTTTTCTTCTTTCCATAGAACATTCCTGATGTAGATGAAGAAGGCTATAGTATAAAACCAGAAGCAAATCAGAATGATATCCTTTTATCATCTGGATATTTTTAATGGCTTATAAGTAGACAGTCAAAATAATCCTTACATAATAAAGAGGTAATATGCAAATGGTTAACATCGTGATGCGTAACAACCAATCGACAGGAGGGCAGGGCAGCAAGCTTCAAGTGGGGGAGAGCTACAGGAGGCAGGGAAGCGAGCTATGTGCAACCAATAGGTACAGCTGTGGTGGGCGGGGCAGCCAGCTGAGGCAAGTGACTGTGAGGGGCCACTAGTCTGTTTAATAAACAGTCTTCACATTTTTAATTATAATAAAATGACTCCCTATTCTTCATTTGACATGTTTTAATTAATGAAAGTTGTTATATTCCTGTTAAAGTCTATTTTGTCTCTTAAAGGTTTTTATTTTTAAAATATGTAAATATGATTATGCATTAAGACAATTTAAAAACTAAATTCTTTAACTGATACTCACATACCAAAGAGAACCATTTCTACTCATCTAGTGATTCTGATTCTGAAGATGAAGAACCAAAGAAGTATCGGATAGAAATTAAACCTATGCATCCAAATAACTCACATCATACAATGGCTTCCTTGGATGAATTAAAACTATCTATAGGAAATATAACGCTCTCTCCAGCAATATCTGTAAGTAAGAAAATGAGTAAGTTTATTCTTACATAGAAGTCTTCTTTTTAATACCTTATCTAACTGCATCTGGTTAATTTTAGGAATAATAATAAGACATCATTTAGCAGTATTAATGCATGTGGATGAGGAAATATTTAATTCATGTATTTTTTTATTTAGCTTTTTTGAGGAATATAGTCTATAATTTTTATACAGTCAAATGAACTGTAAGTTTGGCTTAGTTTGGCTTTATTTTGAATGTGTATTATAAAGGAAGCAAACATGAAGAAAATCCACTATTTCTGCTACTTGTTTTATTTTGTAAATACTGCTGTCGGTCTCAGGCAGAATTTTGTGAATAGCAGTATTAATCTTTTCCTCGTAGAATTTTAAAGCTTTTGTCCATGTTTTGTGAACTTTATGTAGAAGGGACTTTTGTAAAAATGAATTTAAAGATTAAATGATCTCTGCATTTTTTTTTGTCTTTCACTATAACATTTGTTTTCTATACTTTTCATGGAAGGAAAATATAAGAATTTTTCATTATAATGATTAATTTCTCAGTTCTGAGATACCATAACTTAATAGCTTTTGAGGGAGAAAAAAATTATAATACATCTTTCCATTGATGTCTTACTCTACATTTAAAAATGTTAAACTATGGGGGGGGGGATCATGTTTTTTTGTTTTTAGTATATTTGTAGTTATTCAAAATTGTTTTTAATCTGCTCATCTTGATAATAGAGAATAAAAGTTCTCACTATTTCATTTTGTTATTTAATTATATATTTTAAGTAGTCTGTATGGATTCGTTTGGCTAAAAGTTTTTTTCTCTCATTCACTTTTAGAATTTAATTTTAGAATCTTTTTTCCCAACAAAAAGACAGATTTCTGAAGTGAAGTTTTATTCTATCATTACTAGTGAACATTAAGATTAATGCCAAGGTTAACATATATATCTGAAGTAAAAAGTTGTGAAACTATTCATCATTTTTTGAAATATATTTTATTGATTTCAGAGAGGAAAGGAGAGGGAGAGAGAGATAGAAACATCAATGATGAAAGAGAATCATTAATTGGCTGCCTCCTGCACGCCCCCCACTGGGGATTGAGCCTGTAATAAGGCATATGTCCTTGATCAGAGTTGAAGCGAGGACTCTTTAGTCTGCAGGCCAACGCTCTAGCCACTGAGCCAAACCGACTAGGGAAACCATTAAACATTTTTATTTTGGAAGAGCATAACTGATTTAAGATATATATATGTAAATAAATAAAATAAAAGCCTAGAGAAATATGTATCAAAATGTTAAGCATCTATTGCTGAGTTGTGAGCTCATTGATGATTTTAATTGTGCTCTTCTTTCTTTTATATCTGTTTTAAAACAGTGAGCACATTAATTTCATTCTCATAAAATAATCATAAAATTTTTAGTTATTAATATTGGTTGTGAACTGAAGATATTGTGAGTATATTTTTTTTGCTCAGTTTGCTTATTTAGCCTAAGTATTTCCCCCCAAACAATGTATGTGTTTTAAATTGTATAGGTTTTAAGTATGCTTCAGAAAGGAAGAGACTAATTATTAGAGTTTGGAATTAGGATATTTTAAATTCTAAAATGATTGTCTTTTTTTTTTTTTTTTTCCATGTACTACTAGAGACACAGCCCAGTAAGTACAAGATTTTGTTTTTATCTATTGACTTTTAAAATAAGCACAGCACCATTGTAATGTTTGAACATTGATTTTCAAAACGTGTTAAATTTTTTAAATTAGCAAGTCATATGTTGTTTTAGATATTTAGTAGTCTAATATTTAAAAATATTTTATTGAATGTTAAAAGTACATGTATAATTTTACTATAAAACAAAAACTACTGAAAGTCTTTCTGTACATCTTTTTATGTAAATACAGTTTACAGTTGAGCAAATATAATAAAAACAACTTAAAATTTAGGTTCCCAGTATTAACATTTTATAAAGTATTTCGTTGCCAAATTAAATTATTTATTTAATGGCACTTGGTATTTTTTTTTGTTCTGTTTTAGGTGCAGATGAATCGGAATTCATCTAGTAAGTTTGACATTTTAAGTTGGTTATTTTATTTCTATTAAAATTTATCAAGCAGTTTGCTAAGCTTGTAGCCTTACATAATTAGTTACATAAATAGTCTTTTCTCATCATGAGCCTTCACAACAGACTAAAAGGATATTTATTTTATAACAGAAGACAATTTATATGATCTCTTTTAGCTTTGAGACATGTAATAAAATTTAATACCTGACTACAATGTGTTTTTTGTTTTTTTAAAAAAATATATCTTTTTATTGACTTCAGAGAGGAAGGGAGAGAGATAGAGAGAGAGAAACATCAAGGATGAGAATCATTGATTGGCTGCCTCCTGCACGTCCCATACTGAGGGTGGACCGAGCCTGCAATGCAGGCATGTGCCTTGAGCTGGAATCAAACCTGGGACTCTTTGGTCTGCAGGCCAACCCTCTATCCACTGAGCCAAATAGTCTAGGGCAGCGTTTTTTAGAAATCGGCATAGCTAGAGAGTAGCTTCTGATTAAAAATGTTAAACTGTTTAATTGGTACAACTTCCTCATGAGCTGGAAAGCCTTTATAAGATGAGTAATCTGTGGTTTTACCTATTTTTAAGTCCGATCACAATTGCAATTTCTATTACATGGTTTTTAGGATAGCACTTTAATTATGTTAAAAACATTTTTGGGTCCTTGATACTTGTGCAGAATCATGCATAAAAATAAGGGGAAGAGTTTGGGCAGCACAATCAAAAGCTATGCAGTTTTGTAAACACAATGCTTAATAAATACTTCAGCATCAATCCTAATAAAAATTCTAGCTCAATTAAAAATAGCCACAAAATTTATAATAAATACTACACAGAAAGTAGGATTTTATTTTATTAAAAGAAGTGGTGAGTAGCTTGATGATAGGGGATTTGGAGAAAATGAGGATAAAAGGGGACTGTAAAGATGAAGTCAGTTTGCAAAAAGATGGAGAATAATAGCACAATAAACACTTTGAGGCAAAACAAACTCTAAACTGAGCCAAATGGGAGAAGGTGGCATGAATGGGCATCATGTGCAGTGAGGTGTTCCTCATAGTTTGTTACAGTTACCCATATTGATGTATTTTGTAATCTATTGTTTAAGGATGCAAAACATTGATGTGCTCTGACGGTTTCTTATGAACTAACATGACTTGCATTACTGATGCCTTTCCTTATGTATTAGTTCCTTATGAAATGATTTGTGTTACAAAGGTAGCAAAACAGACTGTCTTACAGAGATTTTTGCTCTAAGTTGTTATACAAATTTTAGTTTTTAAAAATAGGATGTTTTTCAAAAGTTGGGAACTACTATTGGCCAATAAAATAATCACTAATGATATTCTTAGAAATTGAAAAATGCTTTCATGATCCATCAATTAAAATTCTTGAATATTTACATAAGTATTTAAACATTTGTTCTAATTTTCAAAGTTGCAGCTCATATTTTTCTTTTCAAAAGGCATTTTATATTAATAATTACAAGTAGTTGATTTGACATGTCATTTTTTCATGAGTTATTAGAAGAAATATTTAGCAGAAGCTCTAAATCTTATTTTAATATTCTTTACAATAGAAAACTTGTTAAAGGTTTAAAAGGTTTATTTTTTCTTCTTATTATAATTGTTTATATTCATTATTAATTCCAGAATTTTTAAATTGTTTATAGTAATAAGATAATTTTTAATTAGGTGAAGAGTTAACAAAATCGAAACCATCTACTTCATCCAATGAGTAAGTCCCATGTTTAAATTTTTTAAAAAAAATCTTTATTTTTTTTAGAGCACTTTTAGATTCACAGCAAAATTGAATGAAAGGTACAGAGTTTTTGCATATACTCTGCCCTCACATATGCTCAACTTCCTCCATCAAATTATATTTGTTATAATTAATGAACTTACATTGACACATTATTATTACCCAAAATCCATGGTTTACACTAAAGTTTATTCTTGGTGTTATACATCCTGCAAGTTTTGACAAATCGATAACATGACCCCATTGTAGTATTCAGAATAGTATGACTGCCCTAAAAATCCTATTTCCTCCACCTTTTTATTCTTTGCTTCCCACTACCTTTAAAGTATCCTTTGTCCTGTTTTCTAGGATTTTATTATCTCTGCAGTTTCAATTCTAGTAGAGTATTGTGAATTACCCTAAGCTGTTAGATGCCATGTGGAGTTTTTCATTGTTTTAATTATTTCTCATTTGACAGTAATTTTTTATAATAATATAAAAAATCCATTTAACTGTATTTATTCTTGATGGTCTTATTGCTTCTAAATATTATAATTGGTAGTATTCCAAGTTCATACATATCTGTATTTCAACTAGTTGTCCTCTTGAAAATTTTCTTACTTTTTCCCTTTAAATTTGGCTGTGACCTTGTAAAACAGGCTGTATATATTGCATGAGCTTCAAAATAAGAAGTGTCTCAAGTTGAAAAAGAGGCTAGGAGGAATGTTGTCAGCTGTTAAAAAGAAAAAATAATTTAAGCCAGTGTGGCATGGGTCTTTTTTCACTTCTGTATCTATAAATAAGAATACTTTAAGAATACTTTCTTTTAATGTTTTTTGTATGAGTAAAAGTTATAAAATAATTTTAAACTATCCTTTTATAATTTACTTTTCAATCTAAGCATTAGTCTTATAAGTGTTTTAAACTATGTTGTTAGGAATCATATGCAATTGTAATTCTAGGCTTCATCATGCAAGATGTAGTAGGTCCATGTAGGTGCATGTTGAGACTTCCAGTATTTACGGTATATAAAAGTTTATATTAAAGAGCCAGGTGTTGAATCCATAGAATAATCAGTACAGTGCATTGATTCCAAGAGGTCAGTGGAAGAAAACTTTGGTTATGCAGCGCATAGTTTTTTGAAAGTAGAATGTTGATTCCCTTGATGATTTTGTCCATGGTTTTGATTATTATCTCAAAAAGGCAGATCTGCCCCAGATATTTCACCAGGCTGCTGTAGTGTCCCAGGCAGTGGCTTGTCCAGGGAGAAACCCTGCCTTTGTATGATCTACTGCAGTAACAAGATTTTTGAAATTTATATCAAGTGTTGGGTTTACTTATGTACATGAGAAATACTTTAAAAAAATGTTTTATTGATTTCTTACAGAGAGGAAGAGAGAGGGATAGTTAAAACATCGATGAGAGAGAATCATCTATCAGCTGCCTCTTGCACACCCCCTACTGGGAATGTGCCCACAACTAAGGTACATTCCCTTGATTGGAATCGAACCCAGGACCTTTATTTTCGCAGGCTGATGCTCTATCCGCTGAGCCAAACCAGTTTCGGCGAGAAATACTTTTTAAAAACCCTTCCCAACCCTTTCCTCTTTTTCTTTGAAAATAAGTATGATCCTATAAAATTTCTGATTTCATATCACTTAAGACCTGACATTGTTATAGAATTAAGTAGCTGTGTGTCCTTAAGTAGCTTATTTATAGACTCCATGCTGCTGCTTTTTTCATTTGTAAAGCTGAAGTCATTTCCATTCTGACAGCCCCTAAGATTAAGAGTTTAAAAAGTGCAATCGGTGGGGACTCATCTTCTATCTCTTCCTATCATCTTCACACAATGTTACTGTAGATTCGGCATATAGTGGTTAACAAATTGGTTTATTAATTTTTAAAGTTTCTTCACATATTCCAGTGGCAGGACATTCAACTTTTTAATCATATATGTTGAACTACTATAATTCTGCAAAATGATATTGATTAAATTTTATATTAATATTCCTTTATTAAAATATTTATTTTAAAAATATTATGGTAGGAAAGGAACCAGTGATTTACTTGCTTGGGATCCCCTGTTTGGTGGTCTTTCTCTTGATTCATCTTCAGCTTCACTAACATCATCAACATCAGGTAAATATATATACATACATATTTTAAATTGAGGAATTCAGTAATTTTTCTAAATTGAGGAATTCAGTAATTTTTCTAATTGATTTATTTATCATTATGCTTAATGATCAAAAATGTTTTAACTAGTCTTCAGATCATATTGCCAGATAAAAGTGATTTTATACTATTGTTTTCTTTTTAACTTAGCTTAAAGGGCCTATGGTTTAGGCCCTTTAAAAATTTAACATATTAGTGTGGAAAAAATCTGATGTTTATTTGTAGGCATCACATAATCTTATTGTTTATAGATAAAATTCAACTGTATAGATATGCATTAATGTAAACCACTGCTTTCTTGATAGACATTTACATTGGATCTTATTTTCTAATATTATGAACATTCATCAATATAACAAGTTTTGTGCACATGTCTCATAATATCATATAATAATTTTTCAATGAGAATTATGAGTTATAAGGTATGCTCATTGCTACTTATTGCCAAACTGCTTTCCAGAAAGATTTTAGCACTTCCCAAGCAATTCTCAAGTCTGAAAGGACTTGAATACTTTTTGTTTTGGCAATATTCAAGTTTCTCTTTTCTTCAAAATATAAAATTCCATTTGTCAACACTCAAAGCAGTCAACAAAGAAACGCATCCTATATAATAAAAGCCTAATATGCTAAGTGTCCAGTCATCCATTCAACCAGTCAAAGCACAATATGCTAATGATATGCTAAGGCCACTCAACCGCTTGCTATGACGTGTACTGATTACAAGGGGGGAGAGGGAGACAGTTGACCAGTTGCTATGATATACACTGACCGTTTCCGTTTGCTTCATGGTCACAAAGTCAGTGGATTTCCTTTATTGATGAAGTTATTACAAGTTCATCTCTCCAGTGTAGCCAGACAGTATTCCAGAGATTGCATTGGAAAGCTGAACATCCCTTTGGGTTTTCTGATGCTTTGGATGAGTGATCTTCCAACACCCGCATCTCTGCGGATCAAAGTGGCCTTTGCCAGAATGTCACATGTCCTGAAAAATTACTGACAGAAGAAGCTGACAGTGTTGCTGATTTTTCTTTTGCATCTTCATCATTGCTTCTCGAGTCTAGTATCTTTCTTTATTCAGGTAAAGAACAGTATGGAAAACTTGCCTTGTCTGTTCTCTTTAGGTATTGTCAGAGGGTAGATTAGCTCCTATCTGCTGCTTCTATCCTTCTGAAACAGGCAGCAGCCTTAGAAACCATACTCCATTTCTCACCAGCTTCCCAATGTTTTTCTTCAAGCACCCTAAAAGATGCCTGTGTGTATTCCTTCATATGACAGGATTAGAGGGCCCCATCGCCTGTGTCAACTACCTTTTTTCTTTAGGTTGCTTCCTGCCACCTCCATGTTCTTCCTTTTTATGCCTCCATTCCTCACCAAGGGCCCTCAGTTTTACCTGTTGTTTCTCCATACATATCCTTAGACCATTTCACATATTTTTAACTTTACACATCTGTAAACTTATAAAACTTACTGAAATATATTTCTTGCCATCCATATTATATTCTTCAGTTTCATTACTTTTGATGATGTATACTTGAATTCCATTCATTAATTTCTACCATGATGAGTTATTTTTCAAGTTAGTATTTGATTTATAAAATTGCAAAATTTGCAACTGGTATTGAAAAACAGTGAACATTAAATTTATATAGGATTTAGGGAAAGTTAGATTATTTTCAGTACTTAACAAAAATGAATTAGAATGATTTAGGGAAATTTTATTTTATTATTTATTTTTAAATATATTTTTATTGATATCAGAGAGGAAGGGAGAGGGAGAGAAAGAAACATCAGTGATGGGAGAAAATCATTGAACAGCTGCCTCCTGCACACCCCCTACTGGAGATCAAACCCTCAACCGAAGCATGTGCCCTTGACAGGAATCGAAACCAGAACCCTTCAGTCTACAGGTCAACACTCTTATCCATTGAGCCAAATAAATATAATTTTAATATTTTTATCACAAAAAATGTTAAATTGTGATTCAATTTAAATGTCAAATTACAGTTTTGAAGGTAAGTGGTTGATATAGAGTTCATGTTCCTATTTTGAAGGTGTTTCAAAGGCTTTGTCTATCTGTAAAGTAGGTGTATGGGCAATAAATTAAAGACCTTAGACCTTTAGTTGTTTATTTACATCAACTATTATATGTATAAATAATTGAAACAGGAATATAACTTATGTGTGTCAGTTTTCTTAAAAATTTAATGATTTTTTTTTTCAGAATAGTATTGGTAGCTTCAAAAAGAATATATTTCATTGATAGGCTCTCAGTATTTCACCAAATATATATTTTTTTAAACTTCTGAAAAATGAACATTGAATCCTAACAGTTCTTTATAATAGAATGTGTTTATGTCAGGATTGCTACATACTAATAATTTTCTTTTCCCCCACCAGCCAGGCCCACAACTCCTCTTTCTGTAGGCACCATTGTCCCACCTCCAAGGCCTGCTTCCAGACCAAAGCTTACTTCAGGCAAACTCAGTGGGATTAATGAAATAGTATGTACTCAGGTGTTTCTCTTTTTTTAAAAAAACTATAACTGTTTAAAGATGTAAACGATATCTTTCTTTATGTCCCCTTTTTCAGTTAAATACTTGGAATTTTCTATTCGAGTTTTCAAAGTATAGAAGGGTTTTCCCCAACAATAGTTCCTTCATTCCTCCATCTTACCTCATTATCATACCTGTGGATCAAGACATTAAGACAAAAAAATTTTCTGTGAAAGTTGGCACATTATAAAAATATTATCAGTACCCATTGTTTCACAGCTGAGAAGCTGTTTTTATAGAATTCTCCTTGCTGCTTAGACCTTAGAAGTATATTGCCAGGAAAGTCCTGGAGGGCATCTAGTTCAGCTTTCTTTACTTTGTATAAAAGGATACTAATTCACATCACTCAATTGACTTCTTCATATTAAATACATATTGCTGTAAAAGAAGAAAAGGAAAAAAAGCATTGGTTGTCAGGTAGTGAAAGAAATTTTATGGAGTCTAGTCAGAGTGAGGCTCTCCCAAATCAGTCTCTGCCTCTGATCTAATTGCCAGAATTAATTTTCTGAACATCAAGCTTATTCTCCTGATATACATATCCAGTGTTTCAAGTGATTGAATATTTTAGCTGCATGTACAAGGCTTTTGATGAACTGCCTGCATTACCAGGTGAACTGTCCAGCTTTCTCTTCTCTGCAGCCTAGGTTCAAACAACTTGAAACTTTCCACTGTTCCCCAAACACATCATGCTCTTTTACACATCCATGTCTTATTATGCCCCTCAGTTTTCTTTTAGATGCTGTTAAATATCACCATATAGATAAAGCTGCCTTTGATCATTACTTTTCCCTTGGTGGATTTAATCATTTTCTTTTTTTTTTTTTTTTCTTTTTAAAAATATATTTTTTACAGAAAGGAAAGGGATAGAGAGTTAGAAACATCGATGAGAGAGAAACATCTATCAGCTGCCTCCTGCACACTCCCTACTGGGGATGTGCTTGCAACCAAGGTACACGTCCTTGACTGGAATCGAACCTGGGACCCTTGAGTCCCCAGCCGACGCTCTATCCACTGAGCTAAACCGGTTAGGACCATTCTCTTTCTTGTATTCATATTTTGCTTATGTTTTTTAGTGCTTGAATCACATTGTATTTTTCTCCCTCCCTCTCATGAGCCATACTTTGTGTGTGTCCCCTTTACTGGACTATGCCATAGTCAGTTTCATGTCCTTAATACTTTGCATAATGCCTGGCCCTATTACAAAATATTCCATGACTAAATGAAAAGGCTTAAGCACCAATGTTGAAGTGGTGACATCTTTCTTTTACAACCCTATTACCAATGAATATACTTAGTGGAAGTGAAGTGAAGGACTAAATACCAGCTGCTATGGAGATGGTTATTATTTAAGTTATACAAAAATTGTTACATCTTGATAACTGGGCAGTACTTTCTAATTTTCATGAAAGTTATATCTGTAAATTTATAGTCACGAAATGAAGAGGACTAATTTTAGTGTATGAATATTTATAGGGTTTAGTTTTTCTTTACCTTTCGTTTTATTTAATAATGTTTTATTTTTCTATTAGAGTTGAGGTACAGTATAGTTTTGATTGGACATTTATATAATGTATAAAGTGTTCATCTCAATAAATCAAGTACCATCTAACACCATACATGTAGTCAATTTTAATATTATTGACTATATTTCCTGTGCTGTACTTTACAACACCATGACTATTCTTTACCTGCTAATTTGTACTTTTAAAAATATATTTTATGGATTTTTTTACAGAGAGGAAGGGAGAGGGATAGAGAGTTAGAAACATCGATGAAACATCAATCAGCTACCTCCTGCATACCTCCTACTGGGGATGTGCCCATAACCAAGGTACTTGCCCTTGACTGGAATCAAACCTGGGACCCTTGAGTCCGCAGGCCAACGCTCTACCCACTGAGCTAAACTGGTTAGGGCTAAATTGTACTTTCAAAAAAAATTCTGATAGTTGAAAGTATTATATATGTCCCCATTGTCCTCTCTAAGCCTGCTCCCTGCCTTTTGTTTTTCAAGTCCCTCAAGTAACTGAGGACAGGAACAGTGTCTTGTTCACTGCTTCGTATCTAGTAACTAATCCATGGCCTGATATGTAGTAGGCACTAAATAAATGTTGTATCTGCTTAATTCTTTTATAAACAGGAAAAGGTTATTTTTAAGTAAGCTAAATATGCCTTATTTTAAAAATTGAAACACCTCAGGAAGTATTGCTAACGTATTATTGGAACCATTAGGAATTTGGGAGGGAAAAATTTACTTACCATGGTAAAAGATAACTGAATTAGAACAATGTTGTTTATATTTGTTTTTATGTTAAACTAGAAAAGTGGGAAGACAATAAAATTAAGATTTTCTCAAATCGTTATTTGGTGGTAATTTTCTCAATGAGGAAGCCATTTCACCCATTTAAAGTGTACAATTCGATGTTTTTAGTATATTATTTCAATTTTATTCAGATACGTAAATTGCCAGTTTTAGGACATTTTCAACACTTGAAAAACAAACAGCCCGGCCAGTTGTAGTTCAGTGGTTGAGCTTTGACCTAGGAACCTGGAAGTCATGGCTTTTGTTTTTTTAATTTCTTTATTAGTTAAGGTATTTTTAATTTCTTTATTAGTTAAGGTATTACATATATGTTCTTCTCCACTCCATTCCCCCCCAAACTCCCACACGGGGGTGAGGGCATGAGTGAGTGAGAGGAAGAAATATTTGTAGCAAATAAAGGGTTAGTGAAAAATCATCTAAATCCTCCCAAAACTAAAGCAGACAGTGCTAATATATACAGTGCTAATATATACAATTCATAAAAGGAGAAATGCCAATTTTTAAAAATTGGCTAAAAGTTAAATTATTTTCTCCTTCTCTTACGGCCCATCCATTCATTGTTGGCAAGGGTGCAGGGAAATATTTTCTTGTATTTATAAAGCATTAATGTCAGTAAGCCTTTTTTGGGAAGCAGTTTGGCAGTAAGTGTGGAAAGCTTTCATACTGTTTAAATTAATCATTTAACTTCTGAGATTTTATCTTAAGCATACTTTTTGAAATACAAAAAATGCTTTATGTACAAAGATTCTCTTGACAGCATTATTTTAAAAGAATCTTTCCAGCTTTTAATACAGCCTCAGAAATTATTTGATCTATGCATTACTAATTTTGAGTTATAAGATATTCACATTATAAATTTGGTTTAAGTATATTAAGATGAAATATACCTAATACCTAATAATCTTTTTCTGATAATGAAGGAACTGTCTTACCATTTTGATAAATAACTCTTTGTTTTTAAGCCCAGGCCATTCAGCCCACCTGTAACTTCCAATACCAGCCCACCTCCTGCTGCTCCATTAGCCCGGGCAGAAAGTTCTTCCTCTATCTCCTCTTCTGCTTCATTGAGTGCTGCCAATACTCCCACAGTAGGTAAGCGATTTTCATGGATTACATGTGAGAGCTGGCATTCAAAGAATGATCAGGCTGAGGGTTTGTTGTTGTTTGTTTAATGGGCTGGTGATGACTTCTAATGTTAGAAATTTGTGTTTCCTGGAAACACATCTGGCATTTTCAAGCTAGTTACATTTTTCTTTTCTTATTCATAGTTTATCTAAATAGGAGAATTTTAACCATGGTTAACGCTGTTAATGCATCAAATTTACCTAAAACAAATACAAAATAACACTGAAAAAAAAAATGCATCAACTTTATAAACCAAGCAATATAAATACTGTAGTTGATGGCAAAGTGTAATGTAGCCCTGTCTACCATGACTGATACCTGCATTCTTATGGAAGTTTGTATTTTAAAAACAATCGATTCAATGAGGAAAAAAAGTGGGGAGGGAAGAGTTTGTTTGCATTGAATAATTTTTTTTCTATAAGAATTGAAATTATGAAGATTTAAAAGTAGGTATTAGGGCATAGCCATACAAACCTATACCTCACTGAACAAAGTCAGTAGTACATTTAAACATGTTGCTCAATAGTGATTTGTTATACCTTTATCCAATTTTTCCTGCAAATTCTTATTACCTTTCTCACCTACTGTTAGTACAGTAAACAAAGCAGCTGTGTTTTGGGAGTAACAACTTTTTCACCGAAGTCATAACTGTCCCTATTGCTGCTGCTTCTAAGTAATGGATTTATCTTCAATAATGTACATCACTGATTTGTAACATCAGTGTGGTCCTTGGACCTGCAGCATCTGTCTGCATCACTTGGAAACTTGATAGAAACTGAAGTTCCAGTGCATGGATTTGTGCATCAGTGGTGTCCCTCAGCCTGGCCTGCACCCTCTCGCAATCCGGGACCCCTCAGGATGTAGTAGTGCACAAAGCAGCAGGCTAGGGAGCACTGCTGTGGAGGTGCGAGAGGCTCATGTCTCTGCAGCTGTGTCAACCGCCCTCAGCCTGGTGTCTAGCACTCCTCAGCCAGCTGAGTGGTGCTCTCGGGCACAGACCACCACAGGGCAGCTGTTGCACTGAGTGCCTGCCCCCTGGTGGTCAGTGCATATCATAGCAACCAAACAGTCATTCAGTCGCGTAGGCTTTTATATACAGTTATGTCAGACTCACTGCACATCGTTTTGTGGTTACGTTGCCATCTCTCATTTATATATATATAAAGTTCTGTCATTTTGATGCATGTACATATATGTTTTATGTTTTTATTTATTTACCACAATTAAAGATCAGGAATTGTTATCTTTCTTTTAAATTTTTTTTACTGTGTCACTTCATTGCTACTGTATATATGCTCCATGTGAGGGACGTAGGTGCTTATGTAGGTGGGTTCAGACCTACGGCAAATCGCGTTATGCCACGCCGTAGGAACAGATCTCCGATGTAACCCAAGGACCTACTGTATATAGATATAACCTTTTAAATCAGAAATGCTGATAGTAGGGCTAGCAGTCCTTGAACAGGCCTTCCAAATAATTCTGATGTATGATAATTATGAGAATCACAGCCCTAAGTAAGCTGATTTAAATATGTTTAATTAGATTTTCAAAACATAGAAGTGCCTTTGAGTCTGTGGCCATTGATTTCTAAATGTCTGAACATGATGTTAACCATCTTATATATAACAAGTTTGTCTTTGCTCTAACAGCAATTTCTTATATATGTGATTTTGTTAATTTGTTTCTGCAGACTATATTTTAGCCATAAAATACATAGAAATCAGGCAGGTGGTCTGTACCAAAATTAGTTTTAGGGATAATGAAAAAGAACTAAGAGTATTCAGAAGGTTTTCTCTTTGTGATGAAACTTTAATTTTGATTGAGTTGGTACATAGTTTATAGTTTGATTCAGTGTGGCCAATAGAACCACAAGTAGGTAAGTAACTATGATGATGCAGGCAGGATGTGTGTGGATTTTGTACGACAAAGATTCTTTAAGGTCTACCTAAAAAATTATCTTTCTTTATTATGGTGCTTATTCAGTTCTTTGCTTAGATATAAATTTTTTATTCTTACTGTTTCTTGAAAGTATTTTCTTGCGATATTTTGTTTTATTTAAATATGATAGAAGATGATAATTTGATTGGGACACTCTCTGAAATTGAAAAGCACTGTGAAACTTCACAAGGTATTGTATCAAAAGCAAATGTATATGTTAACTAATTATCCTAAAGTGTCTCTAAAAATACTGTTATCTAAAATTTTCTTTTCCAGCATTGTATTGGTGTCTCAGAAATCAAGAATAACTCTTAAGGTTTAACTATCTTACTAATAATGTTAAATTGCTATACAGGCTCCGTTGATATCAAATCCCCGATGATAAAAACATAATATTTTTGCATTATCTTCCATCTCGTTCTCTCAGCATTGAGAAATATCAATAAGTCTTAACTCTAAAGCTACCGGAACCACAGAAAAATTATAAAAGAAGTAGAAAGTGTCAGTTTTAAAGCATTATTTTTCCATGCCTCCTCAGCAAAGTGTCTGGCACATGTTAGTGGCTAGTAAAATAACTAGTATGACTTTGTGAATAAATTTTTATATTATTGGCTTTTTAATTTTCATCTGGAATTTTAAGTTGTCTTATTTGGGTGGGGAGTTACTTTTCCTATTGACATAAAAGCAGCAGTTCTTGTTGCCAGATATTTTTCCAACTGAAGAACTTTCTAAGGCAAAATTCCTTCGAATTCTTGAATATCACAAAATCTTCCTGGCCTTAAAAGATGTTTCTTATTATTTGTAGGATCTCAGGTTTAGTTGTGAAGCAGAGAAAGCCAGTACTGATTTTTGTCAGAATTGATCCTCATCCTAGCTGGTTTATCTCAGTGAATAGAGCCTTGGCTCACAGACTGAAGGGTACTGGGTTCAAGTGTCATCAAAGGCACATACCCTGTACCATGGTTGCAGGCTTGATCCCCAGCCCCAGTTTGGCCTGTGCAGTATGCAACTAACTGATGTCTCTCCTCATCTTTTACACTGTCTAAAAATCAATGGAAAAATAGCTTCAAGGATTAACAACAAAAAAGTAACTCAGTCTTTCACTTAGGTTATCAGCTCTGAAATAAAAAATATCTGATGGCTGAAATAAAAAATATCTGATGGCTATTAACATTGTGCAACATTTGTATAATAAAAGCGTACATTTAAATTTGAGAGCTATATGTTGACCTAGGTTACTCATTTTTTAAATAAGATTGAATCATTTTTTAAATAAGATTGAATTATTGTAATTATTCTATTGATTTTTACAAATAGCATCACTTTTATAAATTGCATCACATTATATATTAAATGAAGGACAAGTGGTAAGAGGATTTGAGTAAGGAAAAAAACTACAGTGTACTACTTGGTGCGATTTTTCTATTATGAAGTAAACCAGATATTTAGTTAACATTTAAAAAAAAAAAGAACACATCCATAGATTTAACTTTGCTTACATTTCATTATGCTTTTAAAACACTGCTTCATTATGATTTTATCCTAAAGGTATCTGAACTTTATGTCAGGAAAGTTATAAAAATGTTATTAGTTAACATTTATCAAGACAAGGTAATGTGGGAATATAATACAAGTATTAGAGAAAGAAGGGGTAAAAGAAAATAATAATAAATATAAAAATCCAGTTTAATGCCCTGATGTATATGATGGGTAGAATCTGAAAAGAATATAATATCTGATTTTAAAGCCATATTTTAGTAATCTTAGTTCTTCAGATAAAGAACTTTACCTTCTACATTCTTTTAAATGTCAAGACATAGAAGGGTTAGGTTAAAGAAAAAGTCATTGTTAGGTTAAAGAAAAAGTCATTGTGACATGTTTTCCTGATTTTTTCTTTTTGGTCCTTGGTAATATTTTATGCTACATTTTAATCCCAGGTTTTACTTAGGGCATCTTTGAAACCAGTAATGGAGTCATTTGTGAATATGACTAACATTGTGAATATACCTGTCTTTGTATTTAGTAAATGTTTTTCAGCAGGATTTAACAAATGAATTGTCTGTATTCTAGGTGTGTCACGAGGTCCCAGCCCTGTCAGCCTTGGAAATCAGGACACCTTACCTGTGGCAGTCGCCCTTACAGAATCTGTTAATGCTTACTTTAAAGGAGCAGATCCCACCAAGTTAGTTTTAAAAAAATACAAACATACTAGAGTGTATGTGGGGAGGAGCGGGGGGAAGGTGGAAGAATGTGGTGGTCAGGTTTAAGAGTTATGTTTGAATCTGTGTAAGTTAGGGTTTTCTATTTATTTTCTGGTTTGTTTTTTTTTGCTATCAAATATAGTCATTTAAGGATTGTCTTTTAAATAGAAACATCACTATAATCAGCAGTAGTGATTTTTTCCTCAGTTAATACCGGGTTTCCTTGAAAATAAGACCTAGCGCATCTTTGGGAGCAAAAATTAATATAAGACACTGTCTTATTTTCGGGGAAACAGGGTATTCTTGCCAAGCCTTTATGACCAGTATGACACATCTGTTGCTTTACATATCCTTAAGCAGGATGATGTTTTAGATGGGACTAGAACTCTGAATCTTGGCCTAATATATATCTTTTGTAAAGAGAGCCCTAGAGTACATCTGAGATCTTATTTTAAGAAAAGGGTGTTTGGGTGAATGACCATCTCTACTTTTCATGTAACATTTTTCATTCAACCTACATTCATTAAATATTTGATCACCTATTATGTATAAGGCTGTTAAAAGTTTGCGTTATCATGAGAGAAACAGTTTCTTTATTAGGTTTCTCTCAATAATGCAAGATTAGGAGAGAACTAAAGTATCTTCAGCACAGACAGTTTTACACATACTAGGCACCCAAATACTAATATTCATTCTAAATATATATAGAATGAATAATGTTATATTAGGGTTATTGATATATGCTATGAAGAAAAATAAACCAGGGTAAGGAGTTGGACAATTGCAATAGATGGCTACTATTTTAGATAGAATGGTCAACGAAACCCTTTTAACCTGTTAACCTAGCGGGACCTATAAACACATCAAACATAAACACTATTGGGAACGGGTAGGACATATGAATACGTCCTTGAAATATATGTTGTGCCCTGAGAGGGACGGTATATATTTTTTGTAATCTTTTTTTTTTTTGATTTTCTTAGAGGAAGAGGGAGAGAGAGAGCTAGAAACATCGATGAGAGAGAAACATCCATCAACTGCTTCCTGCACACCCCCTACCGGGGATGTGCCCACAACCAATGTACATGCCCTTGACCGGAATCGAACCTGGGACCTTTCAGTCTGCAGACGGACGCTCTACCGCTGAGCCAAACCAGCTTCGGCTGTAATCATTATAATTATAGTTGTAAAATTTATAATTTTTTAATTCGATGTTTCCATTTTTTTGTTGGTATTCTTTTCTATTTTGTTTGTAATTTTGTATTTTCCTTTGTGCTTTATATATAAATAAATGAAAAAATATATATTTCATTTATTTTAATTAAGTATAAATAAAAAAATAATAATATAAAATTACGTCCGCTGGGTGTGACGTACTGATACGTCCTAGTGAAAGAGTATGTGCCCGTTGTATGTTGCATAATTAAAAAGGGAACTCCCCGGTTAACAGGTTAAACAGATGTTTGAAAGACATTGAGGAGTAAGCCATGCAGGTATTGGCAGGAAGAGCATTCCGGAGAGTGTAAAGGACTGAGGTAAAAGCATGCTTGGCATATTTAAGAAACAGCAGGGAGAGCCAGGTCATTGAGTAGAAGCAAGGAGGAGTGCAGTCAAAGATAAATCCATAGAGGGACTAATTTAGGTTGGGCATCATGGACAGTAATGCATTCAGAATTTATTTCACCTTATTTAAAAAAAATTTTTTTTTTAAATTGATTTGAGAGAGGAAGGGACAGGGAGAGATAGAAATATCAAAGATGAGAGAGAATCATTGATCAGCTGCCTCCCTCACATCCCCTAATGGGGATCGAGCCCACAACCCAGGCATCTGCTCTGACTGGGAATTGAACTGTAACCTCCTGATTCACAGGTCATTGCTCAATCACTGAGCCATACCAGCTGAACTGGAATTTATTTTGAATGAGGTGGAAAGCCAGTGGAGTCTTTTAAGCAGAGGAGTAATGAGGTTAATGTTTTTTAAGAATCCAGAGTAGATGCAGAGAGAGAGTTAACCATAGAAGTTCAGGTGAGATGCTGGTGGCTTCTATATATGAGTATTAGATGAGATGTTGAACAGAAATAAGATTCTGAATATATTTTGAAAACAGTTGTCAAGATTTAATGAGTGACTAGACTGCTAAGTTTGAAGTATTAGAACTTAGCGGAGACATTAAGTTGATAGTCAAATGCATGATTCTGGAGTTCAGGGCATAGATTTATATGCTATTGTCATTAATTTGTATATAATAATTAAAACCAGGGGCCTTTAACAGTAGAGAGATACCTGATGAGAACTAGGTCCTGGTACTCCAGTGTTTAGAAAACAGGAAGATTAGAATGATCCAGCAAAGGAATTAGAGATAGCATGCAACAAGAGAGGCGAGGAGAGAACCAGTAGAGCAGTGTCCCAGAAACTAAACCCTTTCATGAAGGACGGGTTGTGAAGCTATATCTGATGCCATTACAGGTCAAGAAACATTGACCATTGACAATTTGGAGGTCATTGGTAACCTTGACAAGAACAATTTCAGCAGAGTGGTAGAGATGAAAGCCTGTTCAGGAGCAAAAAGACTCCTATATACTGGAAAAGCAAATGCAGACAACTCTGAGGATGTTTTGTTTTAAGTAGAAGCAGGAAAATGGGGTAGAAGCAGAAGAGAGATTGTAGAATTAGAGGAGGATTTTTATTAATTTAGTACATCCATATGCTGATGGGAAAGATCCAATATTTATGGGGAAAAATGAGCCTTCAGGAAAGAGAGGGGACAACTTTAAGAGTGAAATCCTTCAGTATGTAAGAGAGGCGCTTCAGGGCTCAGGTGATAAGATTGACCTTGGGTGCATAGGCTCATCAGTTGAAACAGGAGAAAAGGCAGAAGGTATGGATACAGCCAGATAGATTAGAAGTTCTGTAGTGAAGTTCTGTAGTGAGAGTATGAGAAGGTTCTTTAAATGTCACTGGAAAAAAAAAAAAAAACCAGCAAAGGAAAGTGGCCGTGAATAGGGGGAGGGAATATTGCAGATTAGAGGGAAAGGGTGAAAGTAAGAAAAGATATAGGGATTGTAGTAGAATTGTCAGGTAAGAGTAAGGGGGCCCAGTTGGGAGTTTTGGCTCTAATCATGTTCAGCTCTATACAGTTAGGTGAGGAGCTGAACTTAGCAAAGACTGTGTTTTGCCAAGTAAGCATGATCAAGTGAGAGAGAAGCAAGGGAGGACTTATGAATATGAGTGTGTGTAATGATGGACTGGGACATTCCAAGACGTGAGGAAATTTGGATAAAAGTAATGAGTGAATGTTAGTGAAAAGGATGGTAGGAATAACATTTTGGAGGCTTTAATGAGGCTGGAGAATTGTTGGAAATGCCATACTAGACAGGATGAGTTGGGAGAAAAAGAAAATGGTGATTAGATAAGTGGAGATAATAAAGTTGAGATTATGGAGGTGCTGCAGCATAGCCGAGGTGGACTGGAAGACAGAATCATTAGAGGTGATGGACTAAAGAACTAGGGGACCAAAATATTGAAAGGATTATCTATGGGGATATTGAAATCACTAAGAATTATGATGGTCTGTCTCTGTACCAGTACTTACTAATAATAGGCCAGGAGCTAAAATTTTCAGAAAATGAAAGGGAGTGAAGATGACTTGAAAGGGATGGACTAGTGAGTAGTAAAGTTCATTGGTATGGGTTTCAAAGGAAGCTGGTGGTTTTTGGAAGGAAGAAGGAACACAGAGTTGGAAGAGGCAATGAGGAACAAGGAGGACATTTACCATGACTGCCACCCTGAGGGCCCGTTATCTGTGGCCTTTAGAAGGATAAGTCACTGCAGTGGGGGTAGTGTTTCCTTCCCGGACAGCCAGCGGGTGGTTTTGGTAAACAAGCAGAGGAGTTATCAGTGCACCTACATTTGTGTTGAGTATCCCATTTCACAAAGATCATTAAAAAAAAAATTAAACTAAAATCATTCATTTATAATCATGATAAATATATATAAATTCCTCTTTAATCTCCACTTAAAACATATAGCTGGTTTAAAGTGCCTTACTTAAACTATTCAAATTTTCAAATTCTCCAATTTCAGGTGTATTGTGAAGATCACTGGTGACATGACAATATCATTTCCAAGTGGGATTATTAAAGTCTTCACTAGCAATCCAGCTCCAGCTGTGCTGTGCTTCAGGGTGAAAAATATCAGCAGACTAGAGCAAATTCTTCCAAATGCGCAACTTGTGTTCAGGTTTGTGTACTTTTACTTTAAAGGTGGAATTTCTTTTCAAGAACATTTTCTTGCTTTTTTGAAGCAGTAGTCATTTAATTTGAAGACAATACCAAAATTATTTATGATTTGAACAGCTTTCTACTGTCTGTTTTTGATGGTGGTAGTTAATTATTACATCCTTTTCTGTCCATCATCTCATCTTCCAGGCAAACTTCTGGTATGTTTTATTCTTTATTCCCTAACTTTAGCTTTCCTTCATCCCATCTTTTGGTTCCTTTCTGCTAGTTTTTCCTAGGTCACCAAATTGTTACACAGAGGTAGAGGATAAATAGAGGTAGAGGATAAATAGAAGTCAAACAAATAACAAAAATATTTCTTATGCATGCAGTGATCCATCACAGTGTGATTCTAACACAAAAGATTTTTGGATGAACATGCAAGCTGTTACTGTCTACCTCAAGAAACTATCAGAGCAAAATCCAGCTGCCTCTTATTATAATGTAGATGTATTAAAGTATCAGGTGAGTGTCCTGTCATTGAAAAATATCCTAAGTCTAAAATAGTAACAAACAGAATATTGTAGATCATTAAATGAATGTCATACCAAATGAGGTTCATTTCAGGAATGCAAGGATGTTTCAAAATCAGAAAATCTGTTAAGCCTATGGAGATTTTGACCAGTAGCATTTTTAGAACAATGTGGACTCATATGTGGGATATAATGGTCAAAATAATTTGATGAACAAGAATAGATCCAGAGATAAATGGTGGAGGTTTAGAGAGCAACCAAAGGAGTTGTATGCATGCATATTGGTGTAACCAATGGACAAAGACACTGAGGCAGTGGGGGCTTGCCGAGGTGGGAATGGCTTAGGGAAGGTGGTTAGTGGGGGAAAAGGAGACAATAAATGATATTGATGATCAAATTCATCATCTATTTCTGGTTAAAATTTTGAGTGAATATAAATACATGAATGCGTTCTTAATCTGAAAAGATGAACAGCATCAGATTTAATAAACTACCTAAAGCAATTAATCAAAGTCAGGAATGGCTAAGACAATCATTATTTCTATTAGTATCTATTAGTATATAAGATTTTTCTGGATGTGTTAGTACAGTTAGATAAGAGAATGGAATAAGTGGTAATAAGTATTGGAAAGCAGAAACCAAAAATTATTGCTTATAAGGAATCCGTTTTTCCTGGAAAACTGAAGAAAATCAAGTAAAAAACTTGAATATAGAAGAATTTAATAAAGTGATCAGTTTAAAAATTAATAGATTTCAAAACAATCAGGAAAACTAATGCAGCGAAACATTCATAATAAGAAATAGGAAGAAACATAACACAACATCTACTGACTTGAATATAGTTAGAAATGAATACTTCATTTTCAGGAAACTAATGTAAAAAAGTTTATCTGTTCCTAATTTAACATGGATTTAGTATATTCCTAATAAAAACCCACTTGAGGTGTTTATTAGAGACTTGACAGTTATTTTCAAGATATTTCTGGAAGAATAAAGTTAAGTGCTTTAAACAGTAATGTGGATTAATATTTTAGTTTTAGTGGGAATATTATTATAAGGCAACAGTATTTGAAATAGTTTGCAACTAGCCAGAAGAATAAAACAAATCAGTGTGTCCAAAAATAGATCTAAGAGTAAATGAAAAATTGTTTATATGACAAAGTAGCATTTTAAGGCAATGTTGAAATGATGAATTTTTCAATAAATGGTATTGGGGCAGAAGGCTAGATGTTTGGGGGAAAATTTAAGCTAAATTCCTAACTCCAAAATAAAATCTATATGTGTCCAAGGTTTACTAATAAATGAAACCATAAAGATAATAAAATAAATTATGGGTGAATATATGTATATGTGTGTGTGTGTGTGTGTGTATACATATATATATGTATATACACACCACACACGTATGTATGATATCTGTTAATATTTAATCTTGAAGTATGGAAGAGACCTTTCAAAGAATGGTACAAAACCCAGAAGCCATGCAAAAAGTGAGTGAGATATTTGACACAAAAATAAATTTGTGTATAAAATATTTAGCTAAAACAAATCCTGAACAGAATCAATATTTAATTTAGCTTAAACAAACCCTGAACAGAATCAATATTTAATTTGAGGGAAAAGTATTTAGCTTAAACAAACCCTGAACAGAATCAATATTTAATTTGAGGGAAAAGTATTTAATATATAAGATAGACCAAAAGGCTTATTCCAAAGAGCCTTTATAAATTAGTAAGTAAAGGTGAATAACTCAATAGGTAACTTATGGACAGAAGCACCATGCCAGTAGAAATTAGAACTGTGAATTTTTTGTTTGTTTAAAGTATTACATATGTCTCCTTTTTCCCCGATTGACATCTCCCCCCCCAAGAGCATTGAATATTTAGACAATAATGAGATACTGGTTTTAGCTCATTAGATTGATAAAAACAAAAAAGATTGCTTTATTAAGAGTGTGATCACTTGTTAGTAGTACAAATTAATAGAATCTCTTAGAAGGCAGTTCTATTTTTTTTAAAAAAATATGTTTATATTGATGTTTAGAGAGAGAGAACAAATAGATTAGTTGCCTTCTGCATGTCCCGTTCTGGGGGCTCTGACCCAGAATCAAACTGTCGACCTATCAAACCAGTGATCTTTTCGTGCATGGGATGACACCCAACCAACTGAGCCACACTGGCCAGCGCAGATTTAACCTTTAACTCAACAGTTCCAATTGCCTGTGTTTCTAGGAAATAAATACCTAAAGAGTAAAAGAGTGTTGCTGCCATTTAAGTTAGCTTAAAATTTATTCCAACTATCAATTTATCATTTATCCAACAAACATTATTCAGTGCTTGCTAATTGCTGAGAGTTGGATGGGAGATAGACATTAAATAAGTAAATAATATGTGTATGGAAAAGTAAGTGTGAAAGTTAAACTCTGAAAAATTTCATTTTCATTGTAAATTTAAGCAGGGTGATCAGAGTAGGTCTCATTGAAAAGGAGTCCTTTGAGCAAGGAACTAAAAAAATTAGAATTTTACAATTTACTCTGGGTCATGTGATTAAAATTAGCCATTTGAAGTTGAAAAATATTCTAATTCCAGACTTGCAGAACTTCATGGTGACACATCCATTTCTCTTGTTTTAAAAATAAGTTCTTAGAATTTTAAGATTCTTTATGAATTGTATGTTGAATGATGAGAAATATTCAAACGTTGTTAGCATAAATAAGAATTACTGGATAACAACAGATTCTGTGAACTTATATATGTCATTAACTGACTTGTTTACTTTTCAGGCCAAGTAATTATTTGTTTTTCTCTTTAAAGGTATCATCAAATGGTATTCAGTCTACACCTCTAAATCTTGCCACATACTGGAAATGTAGTGCTGGCACCACAGATCTTAGAGTGGATTATAAGTACAACCCAGAAGCTATGGTGATACCTAGTGTGCTTTCCAACATACAGGTGGTGGTACCTGTGGATGGAGGGGTCACAAACATGCAGTCCCTTCCTCCTGCAATATGGTAAGTTTAGAAGATTTCTGAATTCCTGTTAAATGTGTTTTAACCTCCAATTTTTGGAACTTAAGTTATGAAATTGTGTAAGTTTGAAAAGTTTTGGTGCATTTTCCCATAGAAACTATGCTATAAAAAGATGTTGATTTTACTAGTTAAGCCACAGTAGCCTCAATCCAAAATAAACTAGTTTTGGTGTTAATATCCAGACTTGAATGATTCAAGACAACTCTATCTTTAGGCAGATTGCTTAGCCTCTCTAAACATTTTATTTAAAAAAAAAAATAAAGATCATAATTATTTTACAAGATTAAATATAACATCTGGCATACCTGTAGGAACACATATTTGATTAGTGTTTGGTAGTATTAGATATTTTACTCTCATCTTTTAACTACCTCTCTTGTGCTATTAATATTAGTATAGACTAACCATTTTATAAGTGTGTTAACCATTTTATAAAAGTGTGTTTATCTTAAGTAATGAACTGAGCCATCTACACATTGTTTTTCTCTAATTAGTAGGAATGAGAATTACATAAGTTAGTAAAAATTCCATTAATTTAATAAATTTTCATTAATTGAGATATATAACATATTATGTCAAATATTTTCACCAGGTAATACTATTGAAAAGAAATTTAATATTGTAGTTGTTCTAGTGAAATATTTAAAACACATTTATTTATTGAGTGCCCTTTGTGAATAAGCTGTAATACCAGCCACTTAATCTGAAGGTATTTGTCATTATAGGAATGCAGAACAGATGAAGGCCTTTTGGAAACTGTCTGGTGTTTCAGAAAAATCAGAAAATGGAGGTAACTGTGTGCTTGTTTTTCTTTTTCTAAATAATGTGAGATCACAGAAATGGACTTTTTAAGGCATGTTTATATGGAAAGTTTTTTCCTGGAATTTTATGACTTCAGTTCTAGAATTCACCACTAGGTGGAAGTTAATACCTTAAATAAGAGTGGACCAGATGAGATTCAGAACGGATTTTTTCCTTTTCTACATTGAATATGCTTTCTCTGAAAGGAAGAACTTTATAAATGTTAAGTAAATGCTTCTCATGTTAACATTAAATTTAATTCATTAGGTATTTTCTTTTAAAGAGGTAGAATTGTTTATTCCAACTAGGTAACTAATTGAAAGTGACTTCATATACTCTTTTGCTCACTGATAATGGAGTCCTCCCAGAAATCATGTAGAAGCTTTCAGGCTTTAAAAAGCCCCTTTGTGAAGTAAAAGCAAAAATAAATGAATGGGACTACATCAAATGAAAAAGTTTTCTGCACTGCAAAAGAAATCATCAACAAAACAAAAAGGCAGCCAACTGAATGGGAGAAGGTATTTGCAAATAATACCTGTAATAAGGGGCTATCTATAATAATAAAAGAGTAATATGCAAATCGACCAAACTGCTGAACAGCGTAAAGACTGTCTGAACCACCACGCTATGACTCCCACTGGCACCAGGCCAGCCAAGGCAGGTGTGATGCAGTTGGTCAGGCCTGGCCATCGCCCTATGATTGTCCCTGTAGAGGGAGGCCCCGGCCATCCACCAGCAGTGGATGGTGAGACATCGTAGAACTGTTGGCAGGGCCTACCTTTTGGGGGCAACTGTAGTCAATTGCTCCAAAGAGAGAGGCCCAGGCTAACCAGCCAGTGGCACTGCGGTGGGTGGGAGGGGCATCCCTCTGCTGGGCAGTTGATCACTCCCAGATTGTGAGAGGGTACAGGTTGGACTGAAGGGCCCTTTCCACCTCCAGTGCATGAATTTCATGCACCAGGCCTCTAGTTAACCATAATATATAAAGAACTCATACAACCTGGGGGATATCTGTAATGCTCTCAACAATAAAGATAATTTTTTTTTTTAAAAGAATACAACAAAAAAGCCAAGCATTCCAATTAAAAAATGGGAAGAGGATCTGAACAGATACTTCCCCAAAAGACATGCAAATAGCCAAAGATGTATGAAAAGATGGTCAACTTCGCTAGCTATAATAAAAATCACAATGAAATGCCACCTCACATGTTATAATGACTAGTATCAACAAGACAAGAAATAGCAGGTGTTGGAGAAGATGTGGAGAAAAAGGAACCCTTATACTAGGTGTACTGGTTAATAATGCAGATTTCTTTTTTTTCAATAGATGGAGTTACACATATGTTGATATATATGCAATTTGATATGTATGCTGTTTTTTTGTATTGACAGCAAGCTTCAAAACTTAGGTCAAATTTGCTAAAGGTGTTAAAATCATAGATATTTTTACACTAAAAAATGTCAAATTTTGTGCCAAAAAAAGCATTTGTGGAAAGTTTTAATTCATTATTTTGAAGAAAAATGCTGCTCAAAGTTATCTTATACCTCAGGAAGCTTATGGTGAACATGCTCCAACTCAATATACTTGTGAATGCTGGTTTAAACGCTTTCAAAGTGATGATTTCAACGCGAAAGACAAAGAATATCCAGGTCAATCAAAAAAGTTTGAAGACCAACAGTTACAAGCATTATTGGATTAAAACGTATGTCAAACTCAAAAACAACTTGCAGAAAGATTAAATGTTGCTCAGCAAACAATTTCCGATTGTTTACAAGCAATGGGAAAGATTTTAAAGGAAGGAAAATGGGTGCCACATCAACTAAATGAAAGACAAATGAAAGACAAATGAAAAACCAAGAAGTCAACAGCATCAGTAAAATTTGCTTTAACGGCATGAAAGTCTTCTTGCATCGAATTGTAACTGCCAATGAAAAGTGGATTCATTTTGAGATTCCCAAATACACAATATCACAAAGAAGACAATGCTCTGGGTTTGGTGGGATTAGGAAGATGTGGTATATCATGAGCTTCTAAAACCAGGTGAAACCATTAATACTGATTGCTACTGACAACAAATAATCTATTTGAATCACACTTTGATCATGAAATGACCAGAATGTGCCAGAAGACATGGCAAAGTATTTTGCTTCATGATGCACCATCAGACACTTCCAAGACCAGTTAAAGACTTGTTAAAAGATCTTGCCTGGGAAGTATTATCCCACCTGCTGTATTCACCAGCCCTTGCTCCTTCAGATTCCCACTTGTTCCTGTCAGTGGCACACACACTTTTTGAGCAGCACTTCAAAATGTATGAAAAATTAGAAAATTGGGTCTCTGAATGGTTTGCCTCAAAACAAGAAAAGTTCTATTAGGACGGTATCCACAAATTACCTGAAAGTGGGGGGAAATGTGTAGCCAGCGATGGACATTACTTTGCATAAAGCACTTTTGACGTTTTTCTTGAAATTATGTTTTTGTTGATTACAAAATCAGTATTATTAACCGGTACACCTGGTACACTGCTGGTGGGAATATCAACTGGTATAGCCACTATGGAAAACAGTATGGAGGTTCCACAAAAAATTAAGAATAGACCTACCATGTGACCCAGCAATCCCTTTTCTGGGTACCTTCCCAAAAACTTGAAAACATTAATTCGTAAAGACATGTGTGTACCCCTATGTTCACTGCAGCATTATTCACAGTAACTAAGTGTCTTTCAATGGATGATTAGATAAAGAAAATGTGGTACATATATACAATAGAATGCTACTCGGCCATAAGAAAGGATAAATACTGTCATTTGTGACAACATGGATGGATCTTAAGAGTATGGACAAGAACCATATGGTTTCACTCATGCGGGATATAAAACAAACTCATAGACACAGACAAGTGTAGTGGTTACCAGAGGGGGAGAGGAGAGAGGGGAGAACAAAGAGGATAAAGGGGGTCAAATGTACATATGGTATTAGGAGGATACTAGACTTTGGGTAATGAGCACACAATTCAAGTATACAGATGATGTGCCATAGAATTGTATAATTGAAATTCAGTGTTATTAACCAGTGTCACTTAGTAAATCTTTTAAAAGCTCCCTTGCCTACTCCATTTCCCTATGAAAACCTTCCCTGGTCATTTCCTCTTACAACTAAACATGATAGGCCTTCAATTCTGTGATAATTTTTTTAAGGAGAAGTTAATTGCCTCCTCCCACCAAGTCTATGTTTGTGTTCTCAATGCTAAGGAAAAGTCAGTGCTAGCTGATCACTCCTGATATCTCCCCTGACTCAATTCAGAATATACTTCCCAGGACAGACAAGTCTTTAGCATTAATTATTTTCATTTTCTCTTACCCTGCCCTCTTGAACACTTTTTAGCACCAATAACTTTTCCTGTTAAGTAGGTTTTGTTGAGCTTTTCTGAATATTTTAAGAGTAATGTGATCAAAACACAAAAACATTGTCAGTTTTTCTCAGGTATTTCTGCATAAAGGACCACGAACATACCTATATTGTCTATTTATATGTGCCATATTGAATCCGACTTTTACTAGAAAACCACACAATCATTGGGTGAAATAACCCAAAGCTAACTGCAATTCCTTTGTTGCTTTTTGGTACTTAAATGTTGCCTGTGTTCAGGTAGTCAACTGTACTGCCTTTTATTCTAGTTATTGAAACTGGAAGTAAACTAAAAATCCTACTTGAATTGAGCACTTAAAACCAGTTAGCAAGGAAGAAAAGGATGTATTTTCCCATTTCATGAAACTATACTATTGTAAATACTTTAAAAAAAAGGGGAATTGGTTCTCTCAAAAATCTAGAACAAATATTCCAAAAATTCAAATGGAACCAAAAAGGACCCTGAGTTGCTTTCAGCAATCTTGAGAAAGAACAAAATTGGAGGAATTACATTTCCATGATCAAACTATAATGCAAGGCCATTGTAATCAAAACAGCCTGGTATTGGCATAAGAACAGGCATATAGATCAGTGGAAGGGAACAGAGAGCCCAGAAACAAACTCATACTTCTGTGGTCTATTAACATTTGACAAAGGAGGCAAGAGCATACAATGAAGTAAAGACAGTCTCTTCAATTAATGGTTCTGGGAAAATTGGGCAGATACATGCAAAAAAAAAATTAAACTAGACCACCAACTTACACCATACACAAGAATAAACTCAAAATGCATAAAAGATTTAAACCTAAGTCTCAAAACCATAAAAATTCTAAAAGACAACATAGGCAATAAAGCCTCAGACATCCCTCATAGCAATATTTTAGTATATCTCAGGCAATGGGAACAAAAGGAAAAAGTAAACAAATGGAGCTAAATCAAACAAACGCTTCTGCACAGGAAAGGAACCATCAACAAAATGAAAAGGGAACCTGCTGAATGAGAGAGATTTGCCAGTGATACATCTGATAAGGGATTTATTTCCAAAGAAGTTGTACAACTCAACACCAGGAAGACAAACAGTCCAATTAACAAATGGGCAAAAGACCTGAATAGACTCTTCTCCAAATAGGACATAATAGATGGCCAATAGACATATGAAAGTATACTTAATATGAATTAAAACCACAATGATCTGTCACTTCACGCCTGTCAGAATGGCTACTTTAATAAATCAACAAGCAAGTAATGGCAAGGATGTGGAGAAAAAAAAACCCCTTATGCACTGTTGAAAACAATATGTTCTTTTAAAAATGTAAAAATGGAACTGCATTTTGACCCAGTGATCCCACTTCTGGGAATGTATCCTAAGGATTCTGAAACACCAATCAGAATATATACATCTGTTTTCATAGCAGCATTATTTACAATAGCCAGGATCTAGATACAGCCCAAGTGCCCCTCAGTAGATGAGTGGATAAAAAAACTGTGGTACAGTTACACAATGTAATACTACATGGCTGTAAAAAAAAAAAAAAAAAAAAAGGAACTGTTGCCTTTTGTGACAGTATGGATGGATCTGAATATTATTGTGTTAAGTGAAATAAGCCAGAAAAAGACTACTATATGATGTCACTAAATATGTGGAATTTAATGAACAAAGTAAATGACAAAATAGAACCATGGGGTACTGACAGCTATCAAGAAGAACTAGGTGGGTCAGATGGAATGAGGCGATAGTCCAAGAACATATACACTGAGTGGCCAGATTATTATGATCTCTGAACGCATAACAATCTGACCACTCAGTATATATCCTGTATAATAAAAGGCTAATACGTAAATTGTCCCCTTGACCAGGAGTTCGACCAGCAGGCAGGCCGGCCAACAACCCATGTCCCCTCCCTGGCCAGACCCCACCCATGCACAAATTCATGCACCAGGCCTCTAATACACATACAGACTCTCTGAATGGCCAGATTATTATGCGTTCAGAGATAATAATCTGGCTGCTCAGTGTATGCATAGCCAATGGACAAGACAACTGTTGGTGATGGCCAGAGGCAGGGGGGCAGGGAGGGGGAATAGGAGGCATTTCTTATAAAGTCAACAATAATTTTCTAACCAGATATTTTAATAGTTTTTCTCTGCTAATCAGGTGTCAGGTTGTCTATATGAGGAAATGGAAAAATCTTATGTGGTTCTGCTTGGGTTAGTCCAGTGGTCGGCAAACTCATTAGTCAACAGAGCCAAATATGAACATTACAACAATTGAAATTTCTTTTGAGAGTCAAATTTTTTTAAACTTAAACTTCTAACGCCACTTCTTCAAAATAGACTCGCCCAGGTTATGGTATTTTGTAGAAGAGCCACACTCAAAGGGCCAAAGAGCACATGCAGCTCATGAGCCACAGTTTGCCGACCACGCAGTTAGTCAACCTTTAAAAAGAAATATCCAATTAGAATACTGTAAAATAGACATCTGTTTCTATCCTGTCTTTCCCAGAAGAGGGACAGGAAATAATTCCAAAGTTTAAGGATTGCCAAGGTGGCTGCTCTTGGCCTGCGGTAGAACTTGGTTACAGAGTGGAATTGCAAATCAAGAATTAGAGTCCTAGACTATTTTATTGACTTTCAGTTGATCTCCCTACCTTGCATCTTGCAGGGCCCTCCCTTCCTAAAACATTAATGTAAAATGTTTCTGTTTTTCTTACCTTTGGTGGTTCCTTATGGTTATTTCTTATCTTGGAAGGTAAAGATATTTAAAGCTTGTTCCTGGCTATCATTCTAGTCTCATCTTCTGCCATTCTCCTGCTTTCTCCCACTCCTCTGATATAGAACTAGTTCCCTTAAACGCATCATGCTCTCTCCAGTCTCTCATCTCTGTAGTGCACTCTGCCTGAATACACACGGGCATCCCCACCACCATTTTATGCACTTTTGTGTTCCATGGCTCCTGAGAGTTCTATAGCATTTACCATATCATAATTGTTTGGCTTTCTGTTCTGCAATGCTATTAGGCACAAAGTGTATTGAATAAATGGTTATATTGAAAAGGAAGCACCTCAGACATATCTATTTTGCATGATGCTTTAGATCTGTTAAATTTTTTAAAGAGAAGTGAATAGAAAATAGTAATGTTGATAGAGTTTTCCCCAGTCTTAGCTGTCTTTCCTTTTTTCCCTCTCCCACGCTCGTATGATAAATGTTTCCCTTTTACTTTATTCCTACTCATATTCCTGCTAGGTCTTCCCTCTGACCTCCCTTCATTGACTTCCTTCTCAGTTCAGCATGCAGATTAAGTCAAAGAGGAGCATGGGTTAAGATTATTTACTTAACAAAAATTCAGATTCACTGAATAAAGTCTAAATTTGGGAACAGGATCATGATTCATTTACTGTATACATACATGTCATGAATTTGGCATAGGACTGATAATAGTTTATCTTATGTGCTCATTTGATTTTTTTTTGGTATGAAATGTATATTACCCTGTGTAAATTCTTTTCTTTTCCTTGTAGGTTCTGGGACTCTAAGAGCAAAATTTGATCTTTCAGAAGGACCCAGTAAACCGACAACACTTGCAGTGCAATTCCTCAGCGAGGGAAGTACTCTCTCAGGAGTGGATATTGAACTTGTAGGCACTGGCTATAGGCTTTCCTTAGTAAAGAAGCGGTTTGCCACTGGTGAGTTGGGAGATTAAGTTTTTTCATGTACATGGGAAACATTTGTATTGTAATCTAAAGGCATGAAAGTTTTTTCTTTGGTCTTTGGCATAAGGTGCCAGGTAGAGACACACCTGGGAAATGCAGTTGGCCAGTATAACTGAACACCTGTGATCTAATTCTAATATATTGCAAACTGCAGTTGGGAACTGGGATTCTGGATCTGTAACCACAATGAGAGTGTATTGAGTTCACTTGAAATTATAGTTTCAAAGCTGTACTTGGTGTTTTTCAGGACGATACCTGGCAGATTGTTGATGGACGACCTAAGCAAAGTGGTTGGCTCAAGGGAGTACTACAAACCTGCCATTCTGCATTATCTGTTCTTTCAAACACTATCCTAACTTGCAGTATGTCTTTAAAACGTAGACATATTTGAGAGCTGACTGTAAATATTAAATTGCACCTTTGAAGTGAGTTATTGAAAGAAATAGCACTGAAATGATTTCAACGCTGTAAATGATCAACTGCAATATTCAGGAAGCACATTGATTCAGATCCTCAGTAAAAAGTTTTCTTAAGCTGAAATTTTAAATTATCTTCAGTGTCTATATTGAAAAAGGGGGTTATAGTATAATATTAGGGCCTAAAGTTTCAGGAAAGCAAGCACAAAGTAATTTAGCTTTCCATAAATTTTTTAGTCAGATAGTTTTAAATTTCGTAAGTTTGATGTTAAATGGATATAAACAACATGAATTCTAAGTTTTGGATAATGTTAATTTAGAACACTCAATCAAATTGAGTTATGTGCCATAAAGTAATCAGACTACAGTCCGGGTTGTATGCAAAAAATTTATCATTTGATTTTTTTAAACATATAACTGTAAGTGGTGTTTTATGATTTTTTAATCCTCAAGTGCAATGTGTTTTAAAATAAGCTTGCAAAAGACAGCAGAGAAATTTACTTCTGCAGTTAACTTTATAGAAGTTGTGATTGTTTTGATGAATTAATGCTGTAGATTTAATTTATTTTTATATGGATTGCATAATGTGTGCCTTTTAAAATAACAAAATACCAGAAATGTGCCTATCCAGTTTGTGTTCATAAATGTGCCTCACTTTTTTTCTCACAATCTGGATCTTCTGTTCAGAGTCTTAAGTGATCAGGCATTTTTACAAGATAATTGCAATTTTTATAAATAACTTTGGTGGGAATTCGGGATAACTAAATAATTTATACTTAAGAACCCTGGCTCACTTCTTTAGTGAAACACTGTAGCCACTAGAAAGACAAAGAGCTACCTAATGGCATATGTTTACAGGGGAGAAAAATGACCTGCAGATATTGGACTATAACCTATCAAAAGTATGAAAATCTTAAATTCTGAAAACCTAAGTTAAATTAGTAACTGGGATTTTAACTCAATTTATCATTTCCTTCTATTCTGTTTACCATTGGGAATTTATACATATATTTACTGAATGTGTCGTGAGCATGAATTTTGTAGCATTTTGTGAGGAACACATTATAGAAAAGATTAGTTTTGGCATTAGAGAAGTCTGCCATTTGTTTTCATTTCAACAGTTGGGAAAACTATCAATTTGTGATTTTAAGGTAATGGATTGGGTTAAGCATTTCTTAAACTACTAATATTAAATAGTAAAAAAAACCTAACTTTATGGCAAATCCTCATTAATTGAAGGAATTAAATATTTTGGACAAAGTTTCATAATTTAAAATTGGAAATTTTATTTATAAGGATAAATACCAGTGTCCTGCATTTCGCATAGTAGAAGTGATAAATTGTGTTATATATGATAATTTATATAAAACCACTAATTATTCTGTTAAGCTTTACAGAAAATAAAACTCTTACTACTAGACATTTATGTAACGTCTTACTAAATAAAGCAGAAAATCTACTTGTTAGCAATATATATATATATATATATAACACAATATGTGCTTTTTTATATATTCAGTGTTAGCCCAATTCTAAATTTAGATTTGACTAAAGTAATACATAAAATAATTTACTGAAATGTTCATCTATACTAAAAAGTGATCAAAATTAGAAATTCTAACTCATATTGTGCTCTTAAATGCCAATTACAGTCCCTTACTGAAATCATAACTGTTAATTGCATTGCAAACTCCCTATTGAGCCGTTAATATTTTATTATTGAAATTCAGACACCATTATATTTACAGTATTTGTTTTTAATTAAACATTACCTTAAAGTATACAAATTAGTGAAATGCTAAAATTTCTGCACTTTTTTAATTACCGCAAAGGGTCAATACATAAATATGTATTGGGTGCAGATTACAATTTTGAAGCCATATGAGTTTATATTGATTTTGTTTTTCATTTAAAACCCCACTAATGTAAAAAAAACACACAAAAAAACCCCAGTAGATTTTCATGGGAAATGTATTTAGCAAGCTGGTTCTTGCTTATGTATAGTGGTATACTTTCTAGCTGTCTCTTTAACCAAGAATTTGTAAACAAAGAACTCTAACAAATGTGAGTTTTTAAGAATTGTTATTTACTACTTTGAGTTGTAATTAGAACAATGCAAATCTATCTTACAAAATTTTGTAAATATTTTTGATTTTTTTCATAAAATGTAAATTTTACATAAAAGTTGTACCATTAATAAACATGTAATATATAATTTATCAGTTAGTTTATGTGTCTTTGTACTCCTGTTGATAGTCATATCATAGATGTTAGGACAAGGCAAACTAGGTAAGTAAGGAAGAACTAATTCATTTTGAACTTTGTATCACTGTTTGGATAGGCACACAGATCTATGCCTTATTATCTAAAATTAACAGTCCTTCCTATGACTTCCAGGTTTTATTCTGATACTTGAACTTAACCTTAATCACACAAACGATTAAACACTGATCTGCACCATTTGTCAAATTTTCAGTAAACCAGAAATCATCATCATTATTATTAGACTTAATTTGACTAGAAATGTATTATTAAAATACATTTCTCATTTTCAAACAAAAATCTCAACACTAATTTCTGACCCAAAGGGCCTAATTATATTTTTTCTTTTTTTTCATTAAATAAAGTAACTTCTAATAAAATGCTAATTCCAATAAGCAGTGATCAACCAGTTACAATTACCAATCAAATTCCATGGATATGTAATGCAGCTTACCCCTAAGACTTCTCCTTAGAAGTGTGAGAATCTCCTAATTCATTAAATTTAAATACAGTCTTCACCTCATCATTCTTCAAAATATATCAAAGAACCATAGTCTCCATCAACAACCACAAATCAAATAGTCCGAAGACAGTTATTAGAAACTCAAAACTCAGGATAGCCTCAGTAGCCATAGCTGTTGTATAACCAAACACTGCCAGCATTCCCCGCAAATACATTTTAAAACAACTAAACCTAAAAAAAAGTCCTAACAAAATTTATAATACCACAACCAATTCTACTTCTGGCCAACCTTAAACCACTATAAATAAAGATCTTGAAGAGAAACCTACAAAACTTAACTATAAACATAGTTAATAAATAAAATATAGATCATCATTCTCACATGGGATGTAACCATAACTAATGACATGAAAAATAATTGTATTTCAACTGTAAGAATATTAATGACCAACATCTGTAACTCCCACCCACTAATTAATAACTCATTTATTGATTTACCAGCCCTATTAAACATTTTACCATGATGAAACTTTGTCTCTTTTAGGAATCTGCTTGATTTACATTATATATCACATACAATAACCCTTTCTCCTTCATAACCCATACCTGCTGAGACATGAACTATGAATGAATTACTTGATACATACCAACAGAGCACCTATATAGTCTTTACTTGCTTATTCTTTCACTTAGGACAAGGCCTATATTGTGGATCTTGCCCCTCCCTAGAAACATGAAACATTGGAATCATCTTATTCACAATAATAGCTACAGCATTGGTAGGCTGCATACTACCATGAGGTCTTCTTAGGAGCAACAGCTATACAATCTCTCAGCCATTCTCTACATTGGCACTAGTCTAGTTGATTGGATCTGAGGAGGATTCTCAGTTGACAATGCTATACTCACACCTTTTACTTCATCTTCACATTTGTTATTTCAGCCCTAGTTGTTATTCACTTACTATTTCTTCATGAAACAGGATAAAGTAACCCATCAGGAATTTTATCTGACAAAATTCCATTTCATCCCTACTATACAATCAAGGATATTCTAGGACTTTTATTTTTCCATACTAGTCCTCTTATCTATCTTCTAGGACAGTGGTTGGCAAACTCATTAGTCAACAGAGCCAAATATCAACAGTGCAACAATTAGAATTTATTTTCAGAGCCAAATTTTTAAAACTTAAAACTATATAGGTAGGTACATTGCTATTAACTTAATTTAGGGTACTCCTAAGCTGGCCTTTGCTAAAAACTCAAGGGGCCAAAGAGCCGCATGTGGCTCTCGAGCCGCAGTTTGCCAACCACTGTTCTAAGAGATCCAGACAATTGCATATTAATACTCCACCACACATTAAGCCAGAATGATACTTCCTATTGTATATGCAATCTTATGAACCCTCCCCAATAAATTAGGTGTAGATTAGCTCCAATCTTTATTCTAATTCTAATTATTACAATACCTCTTACATCAAAACTACAAAGCATAATATTCTGATCCCTCATCCATTGATTATTCTGACTAGTAGCAGACCTACTAACATTAACATGAACAAGGATAACCATTTGAACAGCCATTTATCATCATTGACCAACTGGTATCAGTCTTATATTTATTATTCTTGTACTTATGTCACTCACAGGCTTAATTGAAAGTAATCTTCTAAAATGAAAAAAATCTATAGTTTATTACTCTGGTCTTATAAACCAGAAAAAGGTGAAAAATCTCTAGATCATCAAAGAAGAAGCTCCAGTGCCACAAACAGCAACCAAAGCTGAAATTCTTTAATTATTCCCTGAAAGTTGCACATGAACAGTGAAACATGATCGATCACATGGTATGTCAGCATTAGAAACAAATTCTAGAGTAAACACATTGCTATGTACTTCATGCATAAAATTACTTATCCCATTACAGTGTATTAGTACCTACATGCTTGATCGTACATGACACATACTACATATAACTATATAACTTTACCCCATCCCTATAAGCAAGTGCATCAAACTGAATATTATATACTACATAGAATGGTTTATTGTATATAAAATTTCCATGTGGCTAGTCATAAACCAATAGATATAATTGATATTAAATGAGACTTTTTTGTGTTTAAAACAATT